GAGTGAATCCTAATCAAGACAGACACATTCTGTGAAACTAGAGATCTAATTCACACAAGAAAATAAATAGCTTAAGTGATATTATCAGTGAAGAGTAGTATTTTCCAGAAGATGAAACACTTGCTTAAAATACTTTTGGTAGTCTTACTACATAGATAGTCAATGCAAGTCCTTAATGACACAGTCCTACCAGTTCTTACATTAAAATATCATCAGTTTTAGGGCATTGCAGTTTCACTGCAGGATCACATGCTTCTAAATCATGCTTAATTGAAAGACTACTGTCATAATGAAATAGCCAATATTTTTTTAAAACTTGCACAACTGCATGTAGTAAGCCATAGGCTCAAAGTTAATGCACTCGCCTACACCACTAAGGTGTGCAATTGGACGTCCATACTAAATCATAGTATGTCTGTTCAATCCCATCAGGATTTGGTACTCTCTCTACTTAGAAACAGCCTTTTATTTTATTGACATGCTGTACATTGAAAAGGACAGTGGTTAGATAATGAATACAAATGTGATGTTAGATGCAGTATACCATGCAAGTGAAAAAATGACCTTCACAGTTAGTCTTCAATTTTGTGACCATTCTTTCATTAAAATTAAAATGTCATATCTCACTTAAGGTCACTAGAGATATGACAGTTTACCCCAGCTGCCTCTGGTTCTTGTGTGTTGACAAAGTTCACACAAGCCTCTCAGGGCTCCGTTTTTCAGGGTTTATATCCCTTTACACAAAATTTTGCAGCTAAGTTGAATAATGTTTGGGTTTTAGCCTTCATCATTTATCTATATAATGTCTAGATAAGAGTTTCTTTCAGAAGTTCACTACTAGATAACAAAACTCAATTATTCAGGTATTAGTTTAATAATTTTGTTCATTACTGATGCATTGTTTTCATTTATACTGGTTAAGCATAATTACTTCCCACTGTACTTAATGAAAGAAGAATTCAATTGGGCGCTTAATACGTCTGTTAAAAATGTACCATCCAGTTGTATTTTAATATATATAGCTTGATACCTCTGCACAATTTAGTCTGAATAAACTTATTACATTAAAACCACCCATAAAGAAGAAAGTTGTGTGCCACACTCATAGATTATGAAAACTGGAAGCACAAAAGTCTTGTTTACTGCAGCCTCCACCTTAACTATCAAAATACATCATCTTCATAGTGTAAAGGTGTTATGTTCCTGAAAAAGGGCTTGAAAATAGATGAGTTTATGCTTATTGTTGATTAAAAATATTACTCTTACATTCTCAGTATAGAGCTCTTTTCAAGTGTCCACAGCCAATACTTTCTCAAAGAGTTCATGCGGATGAAGCAGATAGATATGGTAGGTTATGCTAACACTATGTTATTTGCAAGCTGTGGAATGCATGGAGAGGATGAGATGAGAATGGCATCAGTCTGTTTGTCCCACCTGATCAAGCTTATCCAATTCCCTATCAGTGAATGGACTAAGTCCTTTGTATCCACCATAGTTCTTTGGAGTACCATTGGTAACACCTGGATTTGTATCCACAGGACAAATGTAGTCTGTTGATTCATCAAATTTCTTTTTTCTTAAGTTTCCGAAGTGTGAAAATCCAAGTTTCTTTGGCTAAAATGAAAGACAAGTTTTAAACAAGAAAAATTAGGTTGTCCTTTAAACATTCAATTTCATCTCCTTTTTGATTTACTCCTATACCTTAGTTCAAGTAAGTAGATTCTGAACTAAACATTTAACTGTTTTCAGACTGGAAGCTGCAGTTAATTTTAAACACATTTAGATAATGTTTCCTTCTAAGAAAAGATAGAAGGATTGCATGCTTACTTTAGAAGCAGACTTAGACAGACAGATATGAATTGAATGTTTTAGCATCTAGAACTAAGAAAATTCAAAAATTTCTCTCAGAACTACCTTTCCCCCTCCCATGTTTGTCCCTTACTTTCTTTATAAAAGAGGGAGGAGGAAAAAAAAATATCATACTGGTGAACAGAATATACCCGAACTTTGGCAGTGGTGGTCAGAGGTGTGTATGCTGTTGACTCCATTATTTCTCTCTTCTCTTGTTGTGCCTCTGGTCCAATTAATACATTAAAATTGGTGGTTAGATGGCGTCGCAATAGGGTCTTTTGAGGTGGAATGTTCAGCAGCATTGCCAGTGTGTCTCCGTTGAATCTAGGTTCAAGAATCTATTAAAAAAGGGGCAAAAGATTTATTTTTTATATGCTTAAATAGTCACAGTGCTAAACCATTACAGTCCTTTAAGAGGGATTTCTCTGTTCTTATAAGTCACTAGTGATAGCAAGGGTTTGAATGGGAAGTGTATGAAAATAGGCATTAACTTAGGAATGTAGGGAATGATCAGACAAATACCCAATTGTATTTACTCAAACTTCCCAGCTGTTTGAACAAAACTGTTTTCAGAATTTTCTGCTATACTTTCACTATTATATTACTCTGAGAATATAAATTTATATCTCAGCATTGTTTTCCGTTTCATTTTTATGAAAAAATCCAAGACACTGGAATTACAAGATTTTCAGAACTCTGACTTAACATGAAGTATGTGTCGCTTAGTATTGAAAGCAAACAAATTCTCATTCCTGATTGCTGGCCAGACTGCTGCGGATTCAGGACAATTATCTACTATGGCAGGCTGTTGGCTTAGAATTCTATTAAAACCCTTTAAAGAAACTCTCAATAATACTTTATCAGTAAATAATTTTCTGACAGTACAGCTTTTTTTTTGAGCACAGTCTTATTGTTATGAAACACCTGCACACACTACTCAGCTTTGATTATAAAAAATGTTTTTACAGTTCTTTCTATATGCATGGATCAGATGCAGAGGCTCTTAAGGCCTGATCATGCTGTCAGATTGCAAATGTCTACACTTGTTTCTTCCTGCTCGATAAACACAAGATAAATTAAGTTTTGTAGTGTAGTTTGTCAGGTTTCAGTACACATGCAGTAAAACACTTAAAAGCATTCTCACAATGAGGCCACCATGCACTCCGCTTCCTCGAAGATTTGGTGCGTATTCTGCCAGATCAACTGATCTGAGCCATTCCATCACTCTGTGATTTGACCACTGAACTACTTCAGAAGGTGAAACGTTATTCTGTTAAAGTAACCAGAAAAGATGATGACAGTATATCCTGCTCTGTCAGTACACATTCTCTATATCTGTCCTCAGCTCAGATATAAAATGGATTGTTCCTTCTCTTCCACAATTAGCAATCTTTCCCCAGTTCTAAAGTACTGATTTTGTTCAAAGCCACTCTAAAACATCCTCTGATGAGATGGTAGGCATATTTGAGTACAGATGAAACCCTTTATACTGCATCAAATAGTAAATATAGAGACTACAGCAACAGGTGGAAAAAAGGGAGCATTTTGAAAATAGCATTATTATCAAGGCATTTAATATAAAGACTAAGAATAAGCCAAGTAAGACAAAAACCTTCCAGTCTTTGACAACTTAATTAGGAAAGCCAAAGAAAAAGCATTCCAAATTATTCTCTTAAAAATTGAACAAACTTCTTAAAACTGAACAAGTAATTTAGAAAGGGAAATACATGAGGTTCAGCCAATAAGAGGCTCGAGCACTTACTTACAACCTGAATAGTTTGTTATCAGGGAGTGTGTTTCATGCCAGAGATGGAAAACAATGTAAGTATTGCTTTAGAAGCTATTTCCTAGTGCCAGTGATTAGGGTATTATTATACACAGTTAATTTTCTGTCCACTTTGGCTGGAATGGGCTAATTGGTGCTTGTTTAAATTAAATTAGTTGAATATTTTTTACCTCATCAACTGGTCTCCTGCGTAGACAGTGGGGGTTAAAACTGTTGACATGCAGCACGTGAATGGCACATTTAATACTCAGATGATGCAGCTGACTGGTGACTTTCAGGAAAAGAAGGTCATTCTGTAAAAGAGGCACAGAATGTATATTAAAGCAGGTACCTTCCCAAAGAAATAAGATTTGTAGCTTGCTATATAGTTTTATATAAACCACAGTAACTACAGTTTGAGGTGAAATAACAGTTTATATTTTCAAAAATTAAAAAAAAGAGGGGGGGGGGGGGGGGGGGGGGGGGTGGAGAGGGGTGTCATAGATAGTTACAAAGTATTTGAAATGTTTCTGCCTGGCAAAGAACCTGTTGCAGGTAAGACCACTGCAGCTGTGAATATAAACATAGAACAGTGAGGATCATGCTTCTATAGCAAAGGCTCCTCAAGCAGTATGGACAAGGCTTTACTAGCTGATACTAGCTAAACTATGCTGCAGAGGAGCAGAACTAAATATTTAATTATCAAAACCTGGACAGGAAAGCTATAATAAAACACAGCAGCTATGTGTATGGTTTGCCGCCAATTTGGTCAGAGCTTTACAGGTTACTGGATTTGCTGCTCATCTTTAACTTACTGTATCTTGTTGCTAACTACTAGTTAGGAGAACACTGAGAGAGTTCTCCTCTCTCTCAGTGAGGAGAGCAAAGTACTCCAGAAGCCGTATGTCAATTTTACCTTTAACCTTGGTGCATTGTATGATAGTGGAAGAAAGCTTTTTTTGCAGAAGCTGGCTATAACATCTTCTTATTAGTTATTTTATTTGTCTTAGGAATAGTAATCATGCATTAAACAGCATGAATGACTGACTGACTACTGCCACCATTTCTGGCTTGCAAAAAATTACTTAACTGCTCACATTCAAAGGAAAATTCTCCAATTGATGCCCATTCTGAAGTTCAGAGCCTGGTTAAACTGAGGCAAAAGGATTTTAGCTTACCACAGTTAAGTACTGCAACATTCTCCCATCAACTCTGGACTCATGGAACTGGTCTTTGTACTGAGGTAAACCAATATCATCAAGCCACCCTGTAGATACAAGAATAGAGTATAAACCAACCCAGACCAATGAGAAAGAAGCTCTTCAGGTGCGGGCAGGCGTCCTCAGAGGCATTCAGGAAGCTCCTTCCACCTCTCCTTTCAAAAGGACCCCCTCTTAATGGAAGCCTAAAAGCAGCTCCCACCAAACCAGCTTTATAACATACCACCATAATATCCCTGGGATATTTTAAATAGTGTGAGTGACAGGGCATATGGATTCTACAGCATAATTTAATCCCTGCTAAATTAATACCTGTTCCCCCCCACCACCCCTCTTTACACTCATTCTCCTTCAAGACGGGGATGGGCTGCATGAACTCCGTGTTAAAGCAGCTATCAGTCATCTTTTGAAGAGCGCTAAATTCCAACAATGGTATAATTTTCCATAGAATGAAGAATTGCATTATATTTGACATTCAAGTAACCCCTCAGTTATACTGTGCAACTTCCAGGGGAACTACCAAGGGCAGCTCTGCCAATCAGATTTCAGGGAAGTATTGAAATACTTCAAGAAACATGAGTACCATGGAAGGCATCAGAATATTAATGCTATGTGCTAAAGTATTCTACCTAGTGCTATCTTTCAGTTGATATTCTACAGCATATGCAGGTAGAAAAAAATAAAGTCTATAATCACCTACTCTTAGAACTGCTCGTCTCATAGATCCGAAAGAATAGAAAAACCCTTCCCAAACAATTCCACAGTTCTTCACTTACGTGTCACCCAGATATGATCTAGTTGTGCAGACTTCTCATCTTGTTTCGCATTTATTGATTTAATTGCCAAAACTAATTTCTTCCTGTGCAGAGGATGCTTTATTCCCATTTCCTATAACAACAGTAACAGACAGCCTTGACTATAGCCCTTTTCATCTCATCAGACTTCTACAAAAACTGATGCTACAGATTTCAAAAAGGTCAAACTGCTAATTGTTTGAAGGGATTCAGTTGTACAGGATAAACATCTATTTGTTGCTTGAGAGAAATAATTACCAGTCATTACCTTTTCCATGTCCTGAGGTGTTGCAGTTAACAGTGTATGGCCTGAACTCACCCACTGCCGTGCAAAAATGACGTACTGACCGAGACCAAAGTCCTCAAGCCAGTTACAAACTCTTTCAGTGCTCCACTGAGCAAACGGAGCATTGTAGTCACTGAAAAGCACAAGAACTGTTCTGAACTCAAAAGAAAATATTATGGTTATAATTAGAAAGAGAATCATATGCCAGAGACAGTACTACAATGTACCTTGTAGCATGCTTTGTTCTGTGCAATAACAAAGGCCAAGAGCCATTCTCACAGTACATGCTGTGGTAATAGTGCCCTGTTAATTTGACTGCTCAGATTTTCTTCTCATGAACAGATATTCCCAGAGGAGAAGGTAAGTTTTCTTGCTACACATGTTCTTAAGGTGAAATTGTGACATGCTTAACAGCTAGTGCTGCTCCCTGCAGTTGAAGGAGTGGAGATAGGGGATTTACTCAGGAAATATTTTCTACTAGAGAAATTATTTCCAGTTATAGTGAAATTCTGTGTGCAATGAACTATGTTAGGCAAAATACATTTCACAACAAGAGGGTATTGCTGTTCAACATATTTAACAATACCGCATAATACACAGTGCAAGGAAAAGAACGAATCATTACCTTTTCTGCCCTTTTGTTTCCTTTGATCTGGATAAGCGAGGTCCAGCTGTTGCACGGAGACCACCTCTTCGAAACTCTGCCAAACCCAGATCGTCTGCAGGGAAGTTACCTGACTGAGTTCTTCTAATTCTTCAGAGACAAGAGTGCCAATATTAGTATTAGTTTGCAAGAGGGAACTTTTTTGTTTCATAGGGAAACTATCACAACTGAAAACTTTATTAATCCTCCTGTAAACCCTAAACAACTAACTCGATTAGTAGCCTAAGAAATTCCAGGAAAACACTGTCTAGACCTAAATCTAGGGAAAAGATGAGCTCTGCAAAGGAGCTGTGATCCTTCAACCCAAGTAATCCACGCTGAAGGTTAGGCTCTCAAATGACTGGTGTCCTGAAGGAGATAAACTGAACACAGTAAAAACTCAGTCCACCTACTTTTTGTTTCTTTTTTTCTCTCTCACTTTTTTAATTGATGGCTTTTGTAATGAACCACTTAGTATTATTTAATTTTTCATAACTAACAAAACTGTTGGCCTTCTAGCTTGTTGGCATTATCTTAAGAAAGCAAAGTATTCTTTCCAACAGCACAACTCTGTTAGCACTACTGTTCATTTCTCCCCACCCATATGTACCCAGAGACTCATCCCTATAATCACAGAGCTGCTTTCTCTGCTTTTCCTGAATTTTGTGTTATTGTTGCTTCAGACATTGTAGACAACTGGATTCGTTCATTCAAAGCATTAAAATGCTTTGATGGGGAACTCCCCTTCCCCCCTCCCAACCCCAAAACTTACTTTCCCCAGATTTTCTTGATCCCTTTTGGACTCTTCCTGTTTTCTGGAGACAACGGAGATTGGGGACCCGAATCCATGCCCGAGGAAAGAGGTGAAAGGTCGTCTGAGACTACTGTACCATCCACTGTCTCTGTTTCTCCTGGGTTAAGAACAATAATATAGTCATATTTTATACTAATTATTGACAACGTACAAAGTCATTAAGTTATCTGAGAAGCTAATATTTGAATACAAAACATAACAAAAAAGTAAAGAGAACTTTTAAAGTGTCCTTGTATAAAAAACCAAACTCTTGCTCAGAAGATGAAAAAATAATAGCTGTACCGCTGATAAAAGGAGACAATAAAATAGTGGGTAAAATAGTATTGTTATTTCAATCATTTATATTTAAGTACATTATTGAAACTAATGGATGGTACCTTTGTTCCTAAAGAAAAAAGAGCAAAATCTGCTGTTACACCATTAGATTTCCATCAACTTTTATTGAGCAGAACTATGCCTTGTCTATGACCCAATGCCATGTCAATACCACTGTTTTGCATGCATCCTCATTAAGCATCTAGTACTACTGTCATCAGGTATCAGCAAGCACACGGCCCAGCCGAGTCACCCAGTTATCAGAGCTGGAAGAATGGTGTGAAGGTCTGTCACAGTGGCCTCAAGTCAGCATCACGTTAGTCAGACTCATTGCAACTCTGTTCCCACTGCTTCTTCCTATCAGAAGGACCTCAGGCCTGGCCACGTGTTTTTACTACAAACCCCTCTCATTACCGCTGCTTCTATAACAACTGTGGGTCAGTTAATTTGCATAAAAACATTCACTTTTAAATCTTTACGTTGCAGATGATCCATTTATAATATTTCCTATCTTACTGTAATTTATAGTGACAATTTATTTTCATTGGAGGTTTAAAATAACCCTGTTCTTATCACTAGCAGAAATGCTATTGTAGCTACAGTAGTCCAAGGACATTGACAAAAGAAGTTGTGTAGGAAGAGGTAAAATCTTTTATTGGACCAACTACAGTAACTGGAAAAAACAAACAAGCTTTTGGTCATGTAAGTCTTTAGACCGGAACAGCTCTTGCCTTGCTTACTCTTAATACTGAAACTACTCCATCAAAATCAGTGGGAATTTTACTGTTGATTTCAGTGAAAGCAGAATGAGACCAAGAATAAGTATCTTAAAATGTCCTATCCTAATACTGTACAGCAAAAGTAGATATTTCATGTCGGGTACTGCACTTAAGGAATTCAACCTAGATGGTCCACTCAGAATTAGTATTTTACAGGAGAGAGAAAGGGAGGAAAAAGGAAAGAAAAAAAAAAAGCAGCAAAATTTATGTTAAAGTTGCATCTTCTTTGGATACGATACCTAGTGCTGGTGCACTGACACTCCTGATCCGATCTTCAGTCATCCCAAGAAGCAGTAAGCCAGATGAAGAAGCAAAGAGAATACAAAACACCAGCAAAATAAAGTTACAGAAGAGCAAAGAAGTGAGCTAAGCATTAAAAGCAGAAACAAAAAGAAAAGCAGTTATGCTTTACATGAAAGTGAATGCGCAGGTGTGCATGAGACCCCAGAATTCTGTACAAATTATCTTAAAATATAGAGATGATTATTTATCTCAAATTTTTAATTGTTCTTAGACCATTTTAACATACTAAGCCTGTACGATATAGTTCCATAAAACCCACAGAGTATCTCAAATGAATCAAAAGGAAGCAGAACTTTCTCTTACTGAATCATCTGAATGTCACAGTCCATTATTCTGGCATAACGGATTATATTTACACCATGTTAAGTCCCAGTCCTTCAAAACAGTTTAATGTTTTTCCCTTCATCTATAATGCTCCCCCTGCCTCTCAGAGAGGCATGAATACATACGCAGGCTCAGGGTGCCGTTATCCTCGTTGTCGTTCACGCCACAGACATCTGGTGAATTTGACATGTTATACGCTCCCTGCTCTCCATTGTGTGTGGGTCGAGGCAGCTTTCCTGGCAAGGTTTGATATTTGCTGCCTTTCACAAATGGCTTATTCTATTTTTTAAAGAGGGGAGGGGAGAAGTGGGGGGGAATCAAATCACTCACAGCATCTGCAATCTAGAACACAATATTCATTTAAAAGTTGTGAAAAGTGGTTGAAAAATTCTATTTGGAGTTTACAGTTGAAAATGACACCACCCTCTCCACATTCCTTCTTACAGATAATTCAATTTAAGCCCAATGGTCAGCTGCCAACATTTTCTAGCTAAGCTAGAGCCTTCTCTCATCTTTCCCTTCCCCTTCAGCTACACTATATACTATGTTAAAACATTATATATATAGAGAGAGAGAGAAAGAGAGGATAATATTTTACTTGGTTTTCCCATAAGAATTTTTCTAGCTATCTCCTTTCCATCTAGGACCCTGGCACCATGTAATATTTGGCCCTCATAAGGTCAACTTTGACAGTGCCATAAATGCATTTGGTTGTTTCTTAGTCCATTCTTTGTTCTGTCATTTTTTCTACCTTAAACCAACAGTATCTGTATTATTAAAATTAAGCATAATATACTTGCCGCCCCCTATTATTGGGGGGGGGGGGAACCCAATGAACTTAAGTTGCAGGAATTTCACTCTGTAAGAATTATTATCTCTTTATAATATTACAAATGCTATTTTTTAAAAATAAAATTATAGCTAAATAACTACAAGCTATATAATAATTGCTAATCATATTATATTACCTAAGTACAATGTATTGCTATACTTCTGATATATGTTGGGAGAAAAACATGGACTGAGCTATATTTTAGGGCTAGTCTGAACAGCTGCTGACTTATTCTATACAATTTTGGCAGCTAAAATTGCCTGCAATTATGGCACCCAGTCACTGAACACTATACAGAGTGTCACTAGCATCAGTGAGATTACTCACAGTGGGAGGTCCCTCCACTAGCAATGGAGCTTACAAGAGGCAGTCCTCAAAGTCTCAGTATTCAGTATATTGTATTGAAAGGGAACTGCTATGTAGGCTATACTAAAAATAGGAAATCTCTTAATTTCCTTTACATTCAGTTTTTCCCCATGATCAACTACTTGGGGATCTTACTCTGTACATGGATAGATTAAAATTTACATGCAAATCTGACAGTTTTGATCCTAGCAATACTTTTGCAGCCAAAGTATGCATTTCACAGATGTATTTGTCAACAGTTTTGGAAACTTATCATGGTAGAAGTTACCATCTAAAAAACTCACACTGTGATATCATCAACACTGAATCCAAATAAAAAGATGAAGGAACACTGGAGAAAACATATCCCACAACTGGCAAAACTGCAGGAACAGAGATGCTTCTCTGGAGAAGCAATGAATCTGCAACTCCAATTGATGTTAGTGGGAGCAGTGTACGTTCAGTTTTTGTTTTCGAGTAAGCTCATATTGGTAAGTGTTTGTCTCAACCTTATCAGAAAGGAGCTTATGTAGGTAAACAATGTACTGAAAATATGCAAAATATATTTAGCGCACATATAGACTACTCCTATTTACTAATCCCATTTTAACAAAACTATTTTGAAATATGTAGATCAAGCTTTTCTGTGACAGGATGATACATAAAACATTCAATGAAATCTCCACTGGTTTATCGTGTTCTTATTTCAAGGCCAAAAGAGATCTTTGTAACTATATAATCTGCAAATCATGGTCCAAATTCTTCAGTTTTGGAGACTGTGCCCCTCCCCCTGCAATCCCGTTTTGGCAAGTGCAGAAGTACATCCAGTCTTTTATAAAAAAATTAAACACATAGAGAACCTATCATTTCACTGCTGATTGCAATCATACAAGCTTAGTACTTTCTTTCTTTACTGAAATGGACCACCTTTAGCTTCCAAATCTTACATACTCAAAAAGCTTTCAGCTAAAAAGAGATTTCCCTTTCAAATCCTTACCCCGTTTTTGAAGTTTGTCAGTACTTGAACTATGTAAACGTTTTAAAAAGAAAATGAAGTGAAAACAGCCATATTGCCACAGCACATCACAGTAGATAAATGTTAAAAGAGTTTACATTTAATATACCTCTTGTTCTATAACAGGCTGTATTGGTTTTCCGTCTACATACTATGGAGGTGCAGGAAGGGTAATTTCAAAGTTATATGGAAAAAAAGTAACAGACAAATGTTAGTATTAACATACATACACAGAACATCAAATTTAGTCTGATTTCTATAACAGTGATGCTACTTAATGCACTGCCAGTTTGTTATAAGGTCTGTTATCTCAATTTATTTTAGTAAAATAGTCAACAAATAGGCCTTTGTTCAAATCACTATAAAACTCAGGTCCTATTTAGGTTCTGTTGAGATCTAAGGGATTTTGTTATTTTTAGGCTTGTGGATAGTCCCATTAGATTTGCCTTGAGTTGGAAGTATGACAGTTGTTTAGCAGTTAAAACAAAATGCTAGCAAATGGCATTACAAGAGAACATATGTAACACTATATCCATCTGAAACCACACAAAAAGCTGTGACAGTCATGAAATGATAAAAATATCAGTACAGCTAGGTCAGAGACATCCTTTTTTTTATTTTATTTTATTTCTTATTATTGCAGATGTCATCAGAATTTGAGCTTTCTGCAAAGAATAGCTCCAGTGAAACAGTGCCCCCAGCACAGGTACCACCGGATTCAACAGAAGCAGCAAAGACTTACATGCTGAGTCAACAAAGCAAGTTATCTTGGGCTGAGTTTTTTTAAAGTTCCAGCTAGCTCATGTTTAGCCAATCACTCATACACATAAGTAACTCTTACTTATTTCACTAAGAAACCTCATGCCTAAATTAGGGCATACATGTAAATTCTATGCTGAACATGGGGCTGGCTTGCTATAGGGATATTTCTGTTTCTTGTCCCTCTGTGGTCTCTGATTTGAGAGATCCAGCAAATTTACAGCCAAAATGTGTAAGTGCAGCCTCATCACATCATAGAGGCAAATAAAGTTTTTGAATATAGGATAAGAAAATTTAATATTGTAAAAGCTACAAAAATAAAACAGACCTTCATAAATTCCATGCAGAATGAAATATGTTAGTTCTTAATTCATCATATGTATTACCACAATAAAATGAGTGCAAATACATTTCAAACATTGGGGGCTGTCATCTTCAGAAGTTTAAGAACTAATTTAAGAAAATCGAAAGAGCTAGAATAACCATATTAATACTGAATATGGTCACACTATTATCCATTTTAAATGGCATTAATGCACAAGGTAATTTAGTATTAAGTCTACTAATGCTGGCACACAAAAAGTCAATACCAGTCTCACAAAGTTTAAATACAACTGCAGAAAAAAAAACCCAGTGTACATAATGACAAAGCAAGCCTCTGGATCATAACGTAAAGAGACTTCTGTAAATTGAAAAGTTTATTCTGGCATGCAGTAAAGCCTTGGAATTAACAACAGTGCTCCTGCTGTTTAAATAATGCAACAAAAATACCACTAATGCCATTTATATCAGAAGTCTGGGTTAGGGAGTGACACATATATTTACATGCAAATACTCAAAAAGGAGTCCTTTGTGGAAGTACCATGTCTAAACATTTACTGTTTAATTATCTTCAAGATTTGCTGTCTTCATATTTTCAGCAATTTGGAAGACAAAATTTTTTTATAAACACATATCCATAAACAAAATAATACTGCAGTTCAACAAGCAAGACTGCTCATTAACATTGTGTGTTGTATTTCTCTAAAATTATTTTTCATTCGCTTTTAGTTGAAAAGCCGAGTTTAAAGGTGTGGGCATGCAAGTGTGTCAAATTATTTGTTTTAAGCTTGGATACTGGATGAAAAATGAACTATTATATCATTAGGGTTTTTTCCATGCACATTTGGTAGCCGTTAGGTTTACAATGTGTAAAACAGAAAGAGGATTTATACTTGATGTTTATCTCAGCCTTGAAATTAAACCCCAGAAATTTTAACTACATATGAACCAACCTTTTCCAAGGATTCACTCTGCAGCTCTTCTAAACTACTGGACTTTTTTTTCTGTGGAACCCTTAAAATAACAATAAACAACAACAGGTCAAAACAACAATTAATACAAGATAATACCTTTGCACATGCCACAACAACATCATATAATAGTTGTATATAATCACATAATGTACAGACAAGATATCTGTTATGTAACAGATAAGTCATAATTAGGAGATAAACTTGTTTTGTCATATTTTAGCCTAAAACTCATAGTACTGGGAACTGCAATAGAGCGAGTCAGAAAGAGCAACAAGGCATGCTTCGATCAACAATGAAAAGCAACAATGTCCAATGTTTAGTTTTAAATGTTACAGAATATCTGTTAATGACTTTTTTAAGAAGCTCTTAGCCAAGCAAAAGTAAACATCAGTAACTCTTTGAGAACAGTGTGCAGCAGTTAAAAGCTTTTAAAAACATGGAAAATAGAAGGAAAAAGTAGAATTATCAAAAAAATTCTGACTGTATGTTTTTTCTTCCAAGTGAAGTTATTCATTCTTACCTACTTCTGTTTTCCAAAGATTCTTCTTGTGGACAGATTAGATTAGTTGAAGATACTGGAATGCTTCTACTTTAAATAAGAATAAAATATGTTATTAAGTACTACAATACGTATTTCTTCTGATCTATAAAATTGCCAATTCATTCTTGTAATTCAAACCTTACAATTAAGTGTTGTAAAATTCACATGGCAAACACTGCTTTTGCAACTACCCAAAAGTTCTTGCCAAGCTAAGAATAGGCATGAGTAGATGTCAACATGTAAACAGATTAAATAATATAGACTTAGGACAGTCTGCACAGGAAACATGAAACTAAAGTCTTGCCTGATTTCCATAGCTTTGTGTGGCACTGGAGATAGCACAGCTGGTGACAATTCTCCCGAAGAGGCCTATGTAAAATGTAAGAGTTTCAAGCCTGTTAACTATAGTGTCTGAGTCTGAAACATAGTCTACCAAACCCATATTGACAGGCACAAAAGTTCATTCAGGGCCAAACCCGTCTCCACATTACCTTTGCTACTACAGAGAAATCAATGCAGGCAAATTATTTTTACAATGGAGCTTGCTTCTAAAACGTCTTTACTACGTACCTCTGTTTTAAATAATTCCCCTTGAGGATTAGTCAAAAGATTCCATTTCCTTAAAGTTGTCTCAGGTTCGTCTTCACTGCCACCAGAGACAATTCTGTCTGAAGAGCCTGTGAGCATTAAAGATTAGAAATAGCAAGGAAGATGAAAAGGTCAAAAGAAATCATTTAGAATCATATTCAAACAGTGTAAATACTTTATTCTCTAAATTCCACTTCTGTCTTCATCTGATGCTTCCAGTTTAGCAGCCTTCTTGTCCCTCTCTGCTCTACATCCCCCTCTTAGCACTCTGACTTACAAGCACACTAATTTACATTAGAGCAAAAAAGTAACCACTTCTAGTTGTCTGCTCTGCTGCGTGTAGCTGAGCTGCTTAAAAGACAGCTTCTGAACCACTGTAATTTAGAGTGTGATGTTCTGAGGCAAGTTCAAGTTGGTACCGTTGTCTTTTTCACAGTATTTCACTTTATAGAAAGTATGCATGTTTGACATCATCTGTACCATAATCCAGTATTCCATGCTCAGTTTAAAGATAAACATAGCAAACGTTCCAGGTTTTTCTAGATATCCCAGCTATAAACAAATACTGTGAAATACTCCAAATTCACTGCTCAATAAGAATTTTATTCTTTAATTTTCAAAGCTGCAATGATACCAAATCACATTTTAAATATTTAGTGCTCAGCAAACCTCTGAAGTATTTTGCGTGAGAAATTTTTTGGAAATCTGCTGCGCACAAGGTTGCAGACAGGATGCAGAGGGGCAGTTATGCTACAATGGAGAAATTCAGACTGACCTCCAAACAGATTAATAGTCTCCGATTTATGTGTTGGAGGTGCAATAGCTCTAGTCAGTTATGGAAAAGCACCAACAATTATGCTTTAGCCTTGTCACTACTGAGAAGAGATATCACTTGAAAACACATTTCACGTGGACTTGGTTATCGTGCCGTTCAGCTACAAAGGCTGCCAGCAAACCTAATACTGATCACTAACCCTTCAGGATGTGACGTGAAACCTAAGCTGGTAATGCCAGAAGGTAGCAGCCCCTCAATTAGTACAAATTACTAAAATTAAAAGAGCTATCTATAGCAGCTCGGATAGTTCCTTTCCATTTTACTCTACTATCAATGACTGTTTCAAGCAGATGCCCTAATTTAATCCAAAATAGTATTTTTTTTAAACATATCTTTTGGCAACATGATTTATGACTTGCCTTAAGCAGAAATAAGCAATGCTGACAATATGTTGGTGAGACAGAAGATTTCAATCCTTTGATTCTACCCAAAATAGTTTTAAAGCAGGGACTACACTCAGAAATCTACCTCTAAAAATCAATAAATAAATACATCAAGGAGATACTTCTTGGCAGGGAGACTAAATCTAAACACATCAGACTCTCACAGTGACACTATTTCACATTCGGGTTGAGATAATATTGTAGCCATCACAGCATGCACCTTAATACGGACTGAGTATACACACTCTAGCTCCCACAGAAGTGGGGTTTCTATTTTTAAAATATGTTGAACATCACTATATTTAACACTGTACTGTATCACCTGAGTGACTACGCTAGCATAGGTGCACTCCATCATACTCCCTACAGTCCTCAGTAATCCGCAGCATCGTGGCTTGCTCCTTGCTCACACCTGCAAGTTTCCTCCAAAAACCAGAGCACGCAGAAAGATGGTGCAAATCTGTACTACCAGGATGTCACCAAGGAGACTGGACCTGTAGGTGTCATGGTAGAGAGCATCTACCCTCAGGATAACCATGGTGTAGGCTGCTTTGGAAGTTAACTTAGGTATGTCTCTATTAGCTACAATCATTCCCCTGGAATTTATTTCAGAGCACTTTCAAGTGAGAGTCTTTTTTTTTTTTTTAAATGAGCATTTAAGAACAAATTTGCTTGATTATTGTTCCTTTTCCTTTTGTGCTAATCAGAAGTTTCCATTCTGCAGTACAAGACCTGAAAATACTTTATTTATTCATTTGATGGTGCATATTAAAAAACTGACCTTGCAGAACTCATCCTGAACCCTGAAAACTAAGATGACAACTTAAAATGAGATTGTCCTAAAAGCCCATCCTACTCCTGCAGTATAAATAATAAATGGGACAGAGACTTTTCCCCAAACTTCCAAATTAAGTATATAATACTGAGCACACTGAAGCAGCCAGGGGTTTTCTTTGGTTGTTCTCCCTAAACCAGAACTTGCCTAGTTGGCTGTAAGGATTCTTTTTAGAGGAGGGAAAGGGTGACAGAACTTACTATATTCACTGCAATTCTTTTTAGCAAAATGTTGGATGCAAAGAAGAAAAAGGGTCTTTCTAACACTGTCAAATTGCACCTGAGATCAGGCTCCCTGTGAGGAATTCAGTATAAAAAACACGACATGAAAGGAAAATGTTGCCTCCATTACCTCTGGCTGGCAGCTGATCATTACTGCCATTCTTGAATTGAACTGCAGTGTACGAAATGTGAATATAGGGAGTAATTAATTATTTAAGACTCATCATTCACTAAGCTCTCCTGGTATGATTTTGCACTGTTTACTGTTACTCATAACCTACAAGCCATAGCAGTAACACACCATCCATATTCTACTGAGTAGCTATGCTATTGTGTACCTACAGATACTCTGTTGAGTACCTATCTGTACATTTTATTCATCTCTCACAGATAATTAAGCAAAATCAATTTGAATGTCACTTTGATTTTGAATAAGAGTCTAGAGAGAGATTTACAATTTAATAAAACTACTGCAAACTCATACCTTTAATAATGTACTTTCCTAACTGTCCCTATTCCCATGTTAGCACACGATTATCCTGCTATTTCCTCCCTTTTTCATCCTTCTTGCTGCAATTGCTTTTGGTCTGGCCTCTGCAACCCAGGCCTCCTTGGATTTTCTCTTTTCTACTACAGTTTTCCTCTTTCGTAAGCATAGTTAACTTAATGTATTCTTTGGCATGAGAAAAAGAGGAACTTTTCTTTTACCCAGATGACCCAGTTCAGAGCACAGCTCTACAAACAGCTGAGTTAGTACAACCAAGGGGATGGCAACCTGCAGCAGGGAAAAAGGAAATCTTAAGCTTTGCCCCTGAAGGATTTATGACATGGGACCGCATTGTGGAAGAGGCTTTCGGTCTTACAGGAGTCTAATTAGTGAGGAGGGACAGCACTGTGTTAAGTAGTTAACAAAATCATGGCCCCAGCTGTACACCCAACCATCACTGCGCCGGTGTAGGAGTTCTGCGCCAACACCTCCTGCCTCATTGCAATATATAGCTAAGTATTCTCAGGTAAGCAGTTGCTGACTTCAGATTGCCTTAGCATATAATGAAGTAATACTGCAGCATTTCAGAACCAACTGATAAGCAGATCACACAGCTGCACAACCAGAGAAGTAATCTCATCGGCCATCCTTCCTTATCGGTCAGAATCCTTAACGACACCATCTAGAGGAACATATAGCCCCAAAATTATGCTCCCAGGAGGGATTTACTATTAACTGGTGAAGAGCATTTTTTGACTAAGACTTATGGAACTGAGCAGACGTTTCGGTCGCCAAAGTCTCTCAGAACAGGAACAGTGTAGAGTAAAATCCATCTGGAGATTTAGCTATTTTTTTGTGTTGATTACAACATAAGAACCAATAAATGAAGTATGTACAAGTCACAGACAATAATGCATAACCTACTCAAGAAATATCGTGATTTTCTCTCTATATATGGAAAAATGTATACTTACCCTCAAACACTCTAACAAGACACATATTTATGAACAAGAACAACAAATAGTAATGGCGGCATGTACAGTTTTTTAAAAGACCTGATACAAGGAAATTATTCACAAACATATTTTACCATGAGCTGCAATCATTATCTCCTTGACCCTCCTGTACTGGCTTAGCAGTAGTGTTAACTCCTCTATCCGACGGTCCTGTGAAAAGCATTAAATGAAATCATATTTGAAGTCTTACATTTTTAACTTGTAGATACACAGTATTACACATTCATTTCTGTGGTTTTGGCCTGCTCTTCCAGAAAGCAGGATCAGGACTCTCATACGCCTTGTAAAAAACTTTTTTTGGCTTTTAATTGTCTTTAAATCCTGGTCCCCTTCTCCCAAGGGACTGAGGTCTGATTCAAAGGCCATTTTGGCTTTCCTTTTATATTATAATCTAAACTAGCAATATCAATGCACTTCAGACCAAGTTTGGAAGACGGAAAGCTGCCTGACCAAACCTTAGTGATCTTTTCAGTAGCAGAAAACAAGAGACTCTGCTCATTACAGCCTTGGCTTTCTGCTCCACTCCGGCATTATCTTTGTTTACCAAGTTCTATAGCTAGGTTACTACGGTCAACAACCACTTCCCATTTAAAAAAAGCAACCTTCTTCCACAATCTAATGGGATAACCCAAAATTCAGAGCAATAGTACCCTTAAGGAAAGCATGTTGTTCAGCTCAGTACAGAGATTCACAACCACTGCTTTTTTTCTTACTATGTGGAGAGATTATTTTCTCACCTTTTCTTCATTTGCAGCCAATAATGTTTCCATTCCTATCTTCAAGCGTTGAACTTCTTGATCTAAAAACATTTTTTACAATGTTATGAGAAAAATACACTTGCTATATTTAGTCTAAATGATATCTGTTTTGTGATACTTTCCCTGTGTTCTTATAAATAACCAGAACCACGTCAGTGGCACAGCAAATAAATGTAATTTAATAGCTCAGTCCTTCTTAACTTAAAGCTTTTCCGAAACAGAACTATTAAAAGTGTTATACAACACCAACATGCTGGTTTTGCTTACAAAACACTGCACAACCCCGTTTTATATACCAAAAGGAAAGTATTTATATATATAGAAAAGAAACAGTGAAGCTTATTTTGCAAAAGATGAGTGCTTTTCTTCTGTTTATAAATTTAAGGAAGTAATTTTTAGCATTGAAATTAATTACATTTCAACCTGGGAAAAATATTCTCCAGTTTATCAGAAGTTATTCTTGGATATTTATGAAGCGTGAAGATTAAAAATAACAAAAACTAGTCTGACATCCTCTAATGAGGACTATTTGTAACATATTCTAGGTAAAAAATCTCAGTATGAATAACTGAGTTAAAATCTACACCAAGAGCCAATACAAAATTGCCTCATGCACAACTTTTAGTATTACGAGGTAGATTCAGAGATTATTCAGAAATGATGTAGTCAAAAACATTTAAAAATTACTTTCTGAAAACTTACAGGTTTGTTAATCATGCCATCCTAACCTTGCTAAACCAAATCTTTCATTTGTTTTCTACATACTATTCCTATCAAGTCCTCCAGTACCAACCTGTACTAAGTCAAGTCTAGATGATGAAGGAGACGGAACCTAAAATAGTAAATCTGTAGTAGCTTCCACTCAAGGAATTCATGTTTTAATATTAGAACAGATCCATTTGTTTCACAAAGGACTATGAAAAACAGATGTAACATGCATGAAGCGAGAGAGGAGAAAGAATTAATATAGTAAAAAACCCTCTGTTTTTAATGTTTTACAAGTAAAAGTTGAACATACAATGTCATATCTAAATAGCGTGCAGAAACTTTAATTATTTTATTCTGGTTAGTATTCTGAAAAAATCTTGTAATGATTACATTTAAAAACATGTAAATTAACTTTGCAAACATTTATCTTGCAAAAGAGAACAATTAGTAAGGCAAGACATGCACAGAGACAACCAAATCAAAAACTAAAACCAGCAGACAGTAGGCAAGCAACTGGAAGATTTTTTAAAAGCCATTAAAATCACAATCCTTCTAACTTCTATTCATAAGTTTCAGACTTCAAAAAGAACTGGTGTCGAGGTATTTTAAAACATTTTAAATGCAAAGTTTACTTAAAATAAGAACATGAAGTATGGAAACAGATTTTTATTCAGACCTTTTTTTAAATTTTACTGTGTCAATTAAAAGAAAAAAAAGCCTAGAGCTTTCCCTCTAAGGAAAGAGGCTTTCAATTAAAGTAATATTTCCAGCTATTGTATGGGTTTTACACACAAAGAAATAAAAAAGGTAAAGGTCAAGTTTTGGCTCTGTTAACCTTGACCATGTCCCTTTGAAGTCCAACTATCTGATCTGTAAACCTGTGATATTTTTTTCTAAGGTGAAATCTTACTAAGCAGGGCAAGTAGCTGTCTGCTTGCTGCAAGCAATGAAAGCAATGTCTCATGTATACTACAATTAGACATCCAAACGTAAACAGACATTGAATTATTGCTGCAGAATGCATTTCAGTTATATTGTATGTGAAAGGAATAGTGAGATAAAGCCAAAAGTGAATTGCAAGGCTTACGTTTTTCTTTTAGCCTTCTCCTATAAACTTCCTCTACGATGGTAAATGGTGAGAGTCAAATAAAGTATGTAGAAAAAGCACAAATTAGATAAAGTTTGCAACTTAAAGTAGAAAGATAATTTTAAGGTATTTCTAGTATGCTTGAATGCATATTCTAATTATCTCAGAAGACCACCTAAAATCCGATGAGTAAGTCATTTTTGCAGAGGCACTGTTACTACTGCATACTGTTCCCATTCAAATATAGTCTAAGCAGTTTCCTTAAAGGTAAGAAATCTTCTGAAGGATCGATAGAAGGTTAGAGTCTTCTCTCACTGGAATCAAGGAAAGTTTTATCCCTGTCTGTAGCTTGAACAGGAACAGGCACACTGCTAGGAAGCTGAGGGCTGCTGAGCTCTTCATTTATTGTCATACAACTATTTTTCTCTTGAAATATTATAAATTGCATGAGAATCCCATACAAAATATACAAGTCTATTAGTAGCACAGACCCTCTACAAAACACTGTTGTTAGATAAACTAATTTTCTAGTAAGACATGCAGTACTCTACATGCTGCTGCTGAGTGAAACTAGCACTAAGTATATGCTAGTGCTTGACTCTCCCTTCTCCAGAACAAACAAACAGTCAAAATACAGACTGTCCTGTTCTAGAAAAGACACATTTGCATTTACTCCCATAAGGAGACATTTAGCAAGCCCTAAGAGACAGGTAGCGCAAAGCACCTGAAAAGTCACCTCTCACGAAGGTACTCTTCGTGCGTGTTACATCCACAAAAGTAGTTAGTGCAGACCATTAACGCTACAAATTAATACTCTTGCATCAATAAAAGTCAGTATTATAGAACAAAAAGGTCACTAATATCATATTGCTCACAACCCAGCAACTGACAGAAGCTCTAGGGAGTCAAGTCAATATTGCAGAGAACTATGATATTACTGGCTGAGACCAAAGGGTATGGGTTTATCTGCCATTAACTTATAATTGTGCAGTTTTAAAACAGAAATCTGAGAAATAGTCCTAAACAAAGGGAAGACGTCCATCAACAAATAAGTTTTAGAATGTTTGAATATTGAAATATTATGCAAAGGTACTATTATGACAATTTTTTCCTTAAAAATGGTAATTATGGGGACTTTTCAAGGACATTTTGAAGGTATACACAAAAATGTGTTCCCAGGAAACACTAAAATGAGTCTATCAAATTATAAGAAAATTCCGTGTAGAAAAAGTTTCACTGCCCTTTGGATATCTACTTATCTGCTCTACCAGAAGGCCAAATAAATCTGCACTATTCTTGCTTCCTAAATAAATTCTAAAAGGTCATGTTCTTGTATCTCCTTATATTGCTTTAAAATACTGAGCCAAGCTGCTACTGAAGTGAAGTAAAATAGGTGGGGGTTTTGTTTCAATTCTCCTCCTCCTACCTTTTTCCGCAACTTCATTATGTGATGACATCCTAGATAGCTGACTCTGTAAGCGTTCAATTTCTGCATCTTTGAGAGCTAATTGTTCCTGAAGCTGGGCTATCTCAGCCTGAAAGAGAGTACAAAAAATTCAGAACACCATCATCACTGATTCTCTGTCCTTCCCAACAAACTAGATAACTTCTAAGCAAAATACTTTACTTTGAGTGATGTCCTGTTCCCAATTTAGGACATTCCATAAACACTGTAACAACCTTAATAAATTTCATGGTATCACTATCCTATTCCTTTTGCAGAAACTCACTTTTTTCCATGCAATTAGCTCTCAGAGAAGAGGTTTGTGGGAAAGGTTACATTCTTAAGTATTCTTGTAGATAAACTGATGGAAAGCTCTTAACACTGCAGTGCTGGCCATATATTATGACTATTACAGGGAAACTCACGAGTCCTGCTCAAAGACCACTAAAAGTTAACAAAGCAGTTTTTACAAGATACTTTGTTTTTTAATCCTAGTTACAATTTATTAATGTAATTGAGAACCTACTAATGCTGACCCGTCTTCCCAGCAGCATGACAAAACTATTCTTCTTCACACACATCAGATATGTTAGATAGCAAATATGACAGAAGCAAAGCATGGCTTGGAAAACAATAATCTATAATGAAACAGAATTCAGTGATTAACATGCATTTACTAGAATTTGTGCTGCCTCCAGATCAGGATAAAATCTCAAACATTAACAGCTTCAAGAGTACAGAAGAAAAAGAATTCTGCGATTGCCTGTCATGAAATACAGTGAACCTCATCTTTTTTCCTGTCTCTGAGGAAACCTGGCAAAGGTACACTTTACTGAGGTAATAACTTCATTAAGATTTTCTTCAGAGCATTAAAGCCTTTATATCTTACCATTCTGTGTTTCCCCCAGCAAAAGCATACACCAACAAAATTCCTTGCAGTTAAATTAAAAAAAAAAAAAAACACTAATATGTGACTAGCTTCTCAAAATATTAAAACCAAGGGGGGAAAAAGCCCAACACACCAAACATTATCTGGACAGGAAAAAAATGACCTGTTTATTTCTATTTATTCTACACAAAAACATATTTTCACCAGAAGCAAGCAGCTGGATGGCAGCAAAGGATCACCACTCTGCCTGCAATTCCTCATGGAATAAAAGAATGCGCCTTGCTGCATCTCAGAAGGGCTCCTACACTTCCCAGTGACTAATGTACTTTTTATATCCAATCATGGAAGTATTCCAATTTCTCATTTAAGAAGTTGGAGCAACAGGAAGACAAAGCTGAAGACCTCTTAATACCAGATTTAGGTTTGTCTCCTCTGGTCTATTTGATTTTATAGCTTTCTTAAATACCTTTTCCTTTCATTTCTCACACTTGACATCTTTACAATTATTTTTCTTTTTCCTCTCTTCCTCTGCACTTTTTTCTTTTCTGCTCCCATATCTTCTCTAACTCAATGGTTTTACTATTTTTCTTGCCTTATTTTCCTCATTCTTCTACACTTTTCATAATCTCTTTTGGCAGCTGGCCATACACAGTTTCACAAAATATTTTCCCAAAGCCTGTTCAATGTCATCACTTCAGAGAGAACATATTTTGATGAACATACAAGATACTATCTTAATAGGGGAAAAAAGGTAAGATAACATATTTCAATATTCATCTGAGAATTCTCAAAGAAATGCTAATAGAAAACAAATACATATCTGTCATTTCTGGATCAGGCTATCAAATATTACAAAGATAACTCAGTTTAATAACTTGAAATGTTCTTCTAAGATCCAGCCACAGCTCAAAAAAATCATTCATTCATTCATACAAACAGTAGCACATATATGATGCAGCAAGGGAGCATGATTATAACACAAAAGTGTACCTCGAACAGGGAAAAATAACAACATCCCTCTTAATCTAGTGGAAAAAGTGCTTAAAATTCAAACTAGAATAAAATTCGAATGTGGAAAATGATGCAGTATTTAAAATGTTCAGTATCTCCAGATTAAGATCTGACAGCTTTCCAGGAGTTACTAAGGTCAATTTGGGGTAAGGCAGGTATGGCCTTTGATACATATAAAGTTAAAGCAGGTGCAATAGTGCATTTTGGGCTTAGTGTCTATTAAAATAAATTCCAGAGTAAACAAACACCCATTTAGCTATGCATGTCTCTTCCTTACTATAATTTTCAGCCTGGAAAGCTTATTCCATACAGACTTGTCACCATTACAGAAATGAAAGATGGAAAACCTTCAAAGGAGGCCTCTCCTCTGAACAATTATTTTCTAAGTCCAAATGCTTCTTTTTAAGAAAAAGGTAGAAGTCTGGAAACTGCAGGGAAGGGAGCAAAAGGCACAAAAAGAAGCTACAAAAACTTTAAGCCAAAATACTTATTCCACAGGTGGTTCAAGAAAACCTGACTTCATAGTTACCAATGACACAAGGCAATTATACGAAAAATAAATACTGATGAGAAGTGGTACATATCCCTTTCCAGCTAAAATAAGTCTGTCATTAGTTAATACCAAATATTCTGCTTACTTTGGTTGCTTTCAGTTTCCACTCATACTGATTTCTTTCATTTTCCAGTTCTTCTACTTTAATTTTGAGGTGTCTAAGTTCCTGTAGCAAACTCTGCAAAGGAAGAAGAATAGTTAAATGTAAGATTACTCAGGTAGATGATAATTTTCTGTGGTCATAAATTAAGAGCATGCACGAACCATGCAGTAATAAACACTGAACCATCCGCATAAAAAAATTGTCACCTAGACTAAATAAACAAAAACTATTTTTAATTCAGAGATTATTATAAGGAATATTTTCTCCAACTCTCTACCTGAAACTATGAGCAAATTTCTCAGTCAAGTAAGAAAGACAGATGACCCTGGTGAAGTCATGTGAGCCTCTGTGGAAATGAGCTAAGAATTCCACAACCTCATGTAGTCGCATGTAGTATTAACTATTTCCCTCAAAGAGGTATGTAAGTTACTTATCTAACAAAAACAACACTCACACTAAATAATATTTACATGTTACAGGCATTCCATGCCATACACTTATAGTCATATTGGACTGACTAGAGTATGCTACTTTCAACTTTGCCACTTTCCAAACTGAGCTGATGCAGTGCAGAGTTGCAGCCAATAGAGTTTTTAATATTCTCTGTGTATTCCTCTGACAGAGCTGTCTCTCAGATTTCCCCTTTTCTCTTCTCTCTTCCCTGGACAGAACCTTATCTTAATGTTCATTCTTGAGGCAAACAGTGTTAAATCCTTGATGTAGCTCTGAAAAGACCAAATGTCTTAAAACGAACTCTAAAATACAATAATTCGGAAGTGTAACACAGTTCTAGGTTGTTGTATAGTATCACATACATTAAACAGCTATACTAGTGTCTTGGATTAAATTAATGTTCATTGTAAATGACTTTCAGATTTGGCTTTCAGATTATGTCTTCAATATGCAGTTTGTATGGTAGTCTAACAGCTCATTAATCAGTTCCAGATGGAGGTAAGCTCAGAAACAATAGCACTATATTCACAATAGGCATCATCACCATATCCAAATGAGTTGTTTTTGTAAAATAAACCTATGAGAGAAATTAGTGAAAATAATCTTCACAATATAAGCAGATTATTTGTAGGATCAGCTTTAAAAATCTACATTTTAATTAAAGTGATGTAGCAACTAAAGCAAACAGAACTAAAAGCAAATCTTAAGTTGGACTTTTTCAGGCATAAAATATCAGCTGATTTAAAAAGTTTATGCAAAGCTTTTGCTTTGACATGTGGCATAGTTTTGATCAGATAGAAGTGAAGATTTGTAACGTAAATTCAAAAATGCTTTTCTCATAACTTATGTCAGACAATTAAAAAAATGTTTTAGATTTGCTATTTTTAACAGTACAAGTAGATTATTTTTATTGTGACTCCTTTCATTTACTTTACCATAATGAAAAGAAAGGATACATTCCATATTATTTTAGACACTTTCCAGATAGTCTTACCTGAAACTGTATTCTATACCTACGTTAAGCTTTTAAGATATTCAGGAATTAATTATCCTGTGTGTTGAGAAGATTGGTTAGGATACACCATAATGCATGGCTAGGGTTACATTACACTGAGGAAAATTACCAAACTATGCTGTGGATCAGACAAAACAAAACAAAAACAAAAAATGGCTAAAAGAAAACGCACTTGTGCGTTTTAGGTTGTGCAACCCAAAAATAAAATCAAAATTATGTAAAACCTGAGAGATGTGATGGTTCTTACAGATATCTGTTCTGTAGTAGTCAATGGTGACCAAATTTGTCCCAGTGTTGGGATTTTTTTTTTGTTTGTATTTTTTATAACCACAGCACTATTACTAACAAAAGCCACAAAGATTAATGCCAACAATTCACAACACAGTTCTGGTTAGCAGAATTTAGTTTCTGTAAAAGATGACGCAATATGCAGTCTTCTGCTAAGGTGTACTTCTCGTACATCACACTGAGAGCAATTCTTCTGGCTGAGGGTCTCTACCACTGATCTTGGGCTAGCTTGAGGACCATTAGGTGTCAAGTCAGGATTCCTATCTTGAGACTTTCTTTCTTGGATTCTACTATTAATTTCCAGCTGCAGTCTACACATCTGCTCCTGTAGCTCACTGATCAGGTTCACTACTGACTGAAAACATGGGAAGAAAAAAAGAAAACAGGTGAGAAGGAAAAGGAAGACAAAATGCAAAGAAGATATTTCTACAGTTGCAGCACAAAGTAGTACATGAAGCATATCACAGGTACACTATAAAAAGACAAAAAACGTTTCCCTTCTGATGAAGTATGTGTGAATGGGTATAAATCTGTAACATTGCATAGAGTTACAGTTTAAAAACAACAGAATCTATGTTCCAGAGTAATTTGTGATTCTGATCCCAACGTGAAGATCAGAATTTGCCCTACATTTTTAGTAATTTATCCAGCCAAAGTCAGATAATAGGAAAACTTGGAATATTTTGTTATGCTGGCTGAGAGGTAGACTTCTGCTGAAATAAACTTGGTTACATTAATTTATGTAGCCGTATCGTCCACTAGGAAAAAATTGCCAAGTGCTCAGTTAGGGCCATATCTACTTTTTATCTTTTCATAAACAGAATTTACTAGTAAAGTAATTCTGTCGCCAGGTCTACCAAGGGTCAGAAAAATACTACATAACCTAACTTGCTATTTTGCTGTATCTAGCTGGGCAGTATCACGACATAAAGAAACAGTTAAGCAATATATGTAAGAGAAGTCAGAAGAGTATCACAGAAGAAAAAGAAATGACTTCTAAGTGTACTGATATGCTGGCAGTGATACACAAAAAATTGCAGTTATGGAAAGCAAACCACCAAATACAAATATTAAAGTCTACGCAACTTTCACTTTAATTGTCCTAATTCAGCAGTATATACTCCTGAGTATTTTCTCAGAGATTATAAATTTGGAGGGTCTTTCTCTTAATTTTCATATACATTGACAAAATATGTTTTGTTACTTTTCAGTTTTCCTAAGTGGAATAAATCTGATAAGACTAGTGTGTTTCCCAAAGAAGTTAAAAAGTTACTAATGGAGAGAACAACAGAAGACAGGGCATGATTTTTTTTTTCTTCATCCTGTAATTTCAATTCTCCTGTGATTCAATATTCTCAAAGCTTAGGTACACCAGTGCTAGGGAACAGCTACCGTTTACTGCAAGGAGAGGATTTATGTAATTCCAAACAGATTAATACTTAACAGAGCCAATCTCGAACTGTACCAGCTTCCACAGACAACTTTAAACATTCACAAAGATTCCCTTTCAAAAGCATACACATCAGTGAGCTAAAGAAGTTTCACATCAGTTAGCTATTTTTCTTGGGCACTATGCTTAAGATGAAACTCAGAATAGCAGCCGTGTGTTTTACTTCATACATGTTTCACTGAATCAACACCACAAGATGCGTGATGCTCTTCCTCTCTCATTCAACAAAGCTTTTGTGAACATAACTGAGGATTAGCTCCTTAAACAACCAAAAAAAAAAAAGTAGTTTAGAAAAAGCACTGCCTTCAGCATATCCGCTCTGCTATATCCAGTCTTCTATAGGCTGACATGTTTTGCCAGGGCTGCACTGGTAAGAAAAGACAGCTTCCTTCATCAGCTCATCTAGGTGAAACTATATCCTTCTTATATTCAGTGGCTACATTAGCTGTTTTACAGCAACAGAATAAGACACTGGTGAGGAGAATGTCCCTCTAGCTAACTTGTCCTCATATCAGAGCACTGTAAAGCAGAACAATCATAGCATCAGCTTTATTTACAATTTAGATACTGTCCACAACCCTAAGCACTCTTGCTTAGATTTTGTTTCATTTTTACCATCACTTCCACAACCAGATACCTCACTAAGCAGTATGAGCTGCAGGCTGGAACAGTCAGGCCACATGCACACCTCCCTTGTTCTCTTTTAAACCTCAGTGTCTTAGTCTACTGTTCTCTCTGACATAAAACACTGTTAACCCATATACATTGTGAAATACAAAGGACCAGAAAGGATATTTGGCTCACTGACTCAAGCTTCTCTGAAATTACAAATAACTGTGTTGTAAATATTTAATCCAGAATTGTCCACACAACAGCCACAAAACCCTTATAACACCTTATAACAGACTTCAGATCTTCAATACAGAAAAATAAAAGCCACAGAACTTATCATCTGCCAGAAGAGGCAAGCAGGAGAGAACACAGCCCATTAAGCAAGTTGAAGTGCACGATTATTCCTGCAGTCTCCTGATACAAGGCCTCTTTTATCTACGTATGGGTGGAGCAGACATCTGAACTGCAGCAAATCACTTGACAATGCTGCTCTTATATACCTTGCTACATTAAGTAAACACATTTCCAAAATTTCTAAGACTCCTCAGGTAAGGGAAAAGCAACACAAACTCTCTGTGGTGGGGTTTCAGAAACCTTCCCAGAAGCACTGCTGCAAAAGGAAGAGAACATTATTCTGCAAAAAGGTAATTAAAATGACAGAACTCAAAGGTAGACTGTCCATTTACAAACAGCTGTTCTCTTGGCCCCTGTGTTGTATGTATATATAAAATTGGCACTTTAAATTTAGCGTGCTTCTGAAAAGCTAGAGACAAGTGACATTCAGTGTGGAATTAATGTCTTTGAGAGCTTAGAGATACTTGATAGACTCTTTGTTGCTAACTAAAACCAAAAGCAAAGCACAGCTGCACAAGACAAAGTGAAATGAACCTGACAGCTTAAAATTCGCTCATATTTAGAAGAATATCTTAATTTGCTTTGTTTTTCCCCAACCTAACCACAGAGGTAGTTCTATAGATAAATTCCATCTGCTTGGAAACAGCTGCTGTGAAATAAACCAGCACAAGATTAGAGTACAGACTGCAAATATCTTTTAGCTGAATTATTTTGCAATTACACATCTCATTTAAAAAAATTTTTTTAAAGCTATTATATTTACAAATGACAGGGCCAGATATATAGTATAATTAACAGGCTGTTTAAAATGGTTTAGTTAGTGGATGCCCTGGAACACATGTGCTAGGGTGAAAACTAAGGACTAATACTTCTGACAATGGCAAAACCATCCCATCACTGCTCTGCTGACCTCTGTTAATCCTAAATTCAGCCTTGAAACCAGCAATTGCACAAAATGCAGCACATAAGAAAGGAACTAGCTCTGTCACTTGCAGCTTTGTTCCCACTTGTGTGAAAACGTTTACTACCATTTCATTTGATACATGATATATTGTAACAACATGCTGTGGTAGCCATGAGGTTCAGAGATACAATTACAGCAAGATTAATTTCATTCAGTCATTGTCAATTTGGAGAATTGTGTCACTCTGTAGCAATTACATTACCACAACACAATTCTGTAGGCATAAACAAGAGTCAACTAAAGGTAGACTGTTTGCTTATTTAAGGGGGGTTTATTCACTAAAAAGCTGTAGTCAGACAGTGACTATGGGAAGACCCTCAACATTATGGGAAGACCCTCAACATTATTACCAAATTTAAGCAGTATTTCTTGTCAAATTGTATAAAGAAAATATATTCAAAAATTCATTCATCCTGATGTTTGAAAGTATGTTCATCCAGAACTCTAGTAAAATTTACAATAAAAGGAGATTAAATGGGTTAAAGCATTAGAATTTAAGCAAGCATCATATTTGATTGAAAACAACCCCTTTTCATTTGGATTAATATTTATTTGGAACAAATTGAAATCATTAAAAAAAGTCTCAACAAGCAAACCAAAAAAGCTCTCTTCAACAGCTTTAGTTACAACGCCCATTTTTCTTGCTTCGTATACACGGGTTTGCAACTTTCAGCAGTTCAGAAATCTAATCAGATCTTATGGTAGTTAATAATTCAGGGCATGCTTAACGCAATGTTTCTCAACTTTTCCATCAGATTAGAATCCTTTTCCATCTCATCAAGAAGTTCACTCTCACTTAGCAATACAACAAAGGCTTCCAAGGCCTCTAAAGCTCAACTCTTCCATCCAAGCAGACCACACACCTTCCTGCAGTGGCAGAAGAATTTCACAGGTCAGAAGCCTCACGCTCTCATCACAGGCCCAGACCCACTAAGTACTCAAGAGCACCACCAGGACAAACACACTCACAGCTTTGTTGCCTTCCAAGAGAGTCAGGCTGACCGTGCCTGCCCTGCAATAATTCAAGCAGCCTCTTCCTGCCATTCTGCATGTCATAGGAAGTGGTGAAGGTCTCTCAGGCAGAGAGCAGCTGGGAGCAAGCTGCCATCTCTAGAGCTGCACTATGCTGCACAGACCTCTTAAATTTTCAGGTAGTATGAGACTGCTAAGGCCTTCCGCACACAAGACACTGACAGCTGTGGGTGAAAGAGCATGAGAAGGCCACAGATAGTAAAAACAGCAGCTGGTGCCTCTGACTTGCAACCTCTGCCAGAAATTGTTCTCTTTATGCTATCTTTTCATCTCAAAGAAAACTTCAGAGGATAAATAAATCAAAAAAAATAAACACACCCTGAATGTACTATGGCACTGTAGGTAAATTACTTGTGCATAATTAGTAGGTATCGAATATTTCACTAGCAACATTATGGAGAGCAAGCAGTTTTCTAGCACTGCCTGGCTTTCAAATTCTCCTAAATCTACTTGGAACATAAAGTCTTTTTTCAGTCACTAAAGTATAAACCTTGGCCCCAACCACAGCTCTACTAATCCTCCCCTGCCGGTTGTCCCCTTATAGGAGGAGACTGAGCAGAGCAACACATGACAACTCATTGGAATAGTTGTGTCTTCCATAATCCCTTTCCTTCTCGGCTCCCACCTGCTTGCTCACTACCATGAGGAGGTTTCTAGGGAATTGGGTTCCATAAAGCAAACGGATTGACTATGGACCTGTTGTTCATACTCCCTGTTTCATACCTTCTTCCTTAATAAGTATGCTAAAAAGCAAAGCTTCTTTGGTGTCCAGAACTCTTTGCATCTGAAAGGGAATAAGGATTAGAATTTCCTCTAACGTGTATAATATTTTTCCACTACCTATTTATTATGTAACCACAAGGAAAAATACACACTTGAGTAAAATGCCCTTCCCCTTTTCTTCCCAACTAACACGAATGCATTAAAATCAGCAAAGGCCTCTGCAAGTGTTTGTAGCATTCCCAGCGCTGCTGAGGTGATGGTCTTCTCTTCCACATAAATGGGGAAATACAAGAACTCTCTTAGGCCTCAAACTACCATGCCAGTTCAGCTCTGTAGAAAGGAAAGTGTTAAGTAAATGAAAATTTTAATGTATGATTCTGAAAGGGACTTTCTGTGTCTTGACTAAAGCCAAATAGCAATCCTTAAAATATAATGAGAGAGAGGAAAAGAAACCACACCCCCAAAAATATATAATCATGTTTGTCACTGGATTAACAGGACCAGCTATATAGACTGTGCTGTAAGTACAGGAGATCCTGTTGCATGCTGATTACAGCTCAAGAATTCAGGTGTATGACAGAAGACCATAGACACATGACAGAACAAAAGAAGATCAGCTAATGAAAGAAGCTCACCTCAGCTTTGTTCTGCTTCTCTTCATATTCACTCTGTTCCTTTTCCATACCAACCAGCTTAATCTTCAGGTCCGAAACTTCAGCCATTAGATCTAATTTCTGAGTCTCTAATGATGTTCGACTGAGCAACTCCTGAAAGAAAATTAGAATATTTTCCCCAGTTATTTCTATTTCTGTGAACACTGACAGAATGTTACGTGGTTTGCTGGCAGACCCATAGAAAGGTCCCTACCAAGCGCTTCTGCTTTTTAATACAAAAGCAAAATGAGTCTCTTCTTCAAAAGTTACACTCACTAATGCTTTACAATTCAAAAAAGGTGGATTTGATATGAGCATTTATTGCAGGAGGGAAAAGTAACTATTAGTTATGTTACTGAAAAGTTGACAAAAATATAAAACACTAGAGTGCAAATACATTTAAATCTATAGTTAAAAAAACAAAGCAAAAAAAAAAAAAAAAGAGCAGTTTGCAAATTCATATGAAAGTGAATTTCTCTACCTCCCTTAACAGTGCTTATTCTTCGAACTGTGTGTTCTTGAGTTCGGCAGCTATTTTCCCCTAAATGTTTTCCCATGTTAATCACTAAATCACTGTCCTCCTCCCCACTTTAAGAAAATGTGTGGATCAGAGTTAATTCCCAGGCAAAACATCAAATTAGAAAACAATACTGAGGCTGAACAAAACCAAATCTACAAAATGCCACAGAGACTTTCAGATGACACATTACAAAGTACTCCATTACTTCCTAGAATGCTCATCAAAAAGAGCTACATTTTAGATTTAAAATGCAATGTTTTAGAACTATATCATTTTTATAATATGTTATTTAACAAAAGATGTATTACAGAATGAATATCCTAAGCAAAAGAGCACCAAAGACAAGTAACATCTCCCCCGTCGTGCCAATAGTACTTGAAAGTTTACACCATACAGTACTGTTGAAGACTATGCATACTGTAGAGGGAACAGCATTGAATGGGAAGTGGTATGACTTAACTGGAATCTAGAAGGCGATGTCCAAATTGAGTAATTGGGTAAAGTAGAAATATTTGACCACGACTTTTATTTGCGTGACTCAAGTTCATTTCTAGATTGCAGGGCATATTTTGGACAAAGTGGTATCCCTTTGTTTGGAAAATTTTCAACATTCACCTCCTTGCATCTTTCAGTTTCCAAGAGAGCCAAAGCCAAAAGTCTTCCCAAACTTAACAAAACGTAATTTTTAAAAGAGTCTCTGTTGGCTTCCATTTTCAAAGGGAAAACTCTATTCAGGAGTCTTAAGCCATACTAAAAATCAGTACCTGAGTTTCAAAGTGCTTAATTCATTTTTGCGAAAGAACTTACGTTTCTAATTGGACATACTGTTTTTTAAAATGTAACAGTAATTTGTAGCTCACATTGGTGTTCTGATCATATTAAATGGAGTACTGCAGAATTAAGCACATCCTGCTTTGAATTACACAGAAGTGACTTAACTGAAGTTGGCACAATTATTCTGGATCTACACTGATGTTATGGGGAGACTACAAACTGCCTTTGTCCATCAACACCCTTTTGTCATTTCTTCCCCTTCCACAAACAGGGGAGTATGCTGTAGACTACGGTTTGGAGCCAAGGAAGCAGCAAACAAATGTTATTTTAAAAATTACACAGTTACAGTTTATTTGGAACCCAAATCTTCTCTACGTGTAATTTTTTTTTAATTTGGTGGGAATACTGCCCAAATTAAAAATACTACTAGACTTGCATCTGCACTGCAACGCCAATTATCTAACTGCTTATGGAAAAGAAAATAAACAGAAATGTAGCCTCACGCCTTGTTTTTTCCCTGAATGAAATAAATCAATGGCTAACCAGAAAAGGCTAGCACACTGCCCGCTTTGTTCAGAAACTTTAAGAGGCAGTCATCTAATAAAATCATAGTAGTGACTGCTTTCTAAAATCAGGGCATTAAAAGGGGTGATGCAATAAAAAGCAACAATTACAAATAATTCTTCAATGCTCCAGAAAAACAAGGATATAGGACTACATCTCCACCAATTTGCACAAGTTCCAGAGGCACTTTCCAACCCAGATTGGAGCACGCTTTTGTACAGCTGTTAACAGAGGAGAATTTTATAGATTAAGATATAATTTTAAATGGGAACTTTGATATGAAATAAAGCCACTGAGCATTAAAAAAGCTAGTGGGATAAGGTGACTTTGGCTCCTATCCATTCAACAGACATTGTTTAATACAAACAACGTTAGGAATTTTTTTAATTTGACATTGACATAGTGTTTCATGATAAAACAAGATTTCTTAATAAGGCAAGCAGACACGGCATCCATCTAGAGATTTTTAACAAAAGATCTATCCAGAGTGCACTGGCTGGTATCACTCCTTACATTTCTTATGCACTCCCAAGTTACATTTATTTACATTAATGGAGGGTAACACCTTATTCCTCTCATTCCGAGTTCAGTAGTTCCACGTGAACAGTAAGGTACTACCTGGTATGAGTGAGCATGGAGGCAGGTGACAATTTTTTTTTTTAAATCAACCCAAATAAAATTTTTCTTTTTGCTCTGAAGCTGGAAGACCAGATCCTCAACTAATGTAAACTGGCATAGGGCTTTTGCCTTAACATAGGCAAAATAGCTAACTATCCCTAGTTTGTTTTCAATGGTGCTACACTGATTTAAACCAGATGACAATTTATCTTGCATGTAGAAAGTCTAACTTTTGCTTTGAAAGAAAGTGCCATTTAAAGTAAATGTCCCCTCTTGAAATGGATAACATCTGGAAGCAATTATTTTCATTTTCAAGCAGATGCTCACAGTGAACAGTTGATTAGAGAATGTGACCCATTTTGCTGCAGAGAAATTATAGTGTATTTCAGTGGTATGATGCAACTTTAAGCCAGCCAGAATAAATATGCAGTTGCAAGAAAAGAAAACAAATTTATGCTATTGGTTTAAAAGCAAAAAAGATAATATAGGAGATGCAAAATTATGATTGGGGCTGCAGCAGCTTTAGAAGGATCTTAAATTACCAAAGTGCAGTATAAAAACAGAACATATTTACAGAATCTTATTTAAAAAAACGTAGTGGAAGTATAATTTAATTTCTCAGGGTTATTTCTTTGAAGAAACCTTTAGCTTTAAAAATTAAATTGTTTTAGAGTAGAGTGATTACAAATGTGAGTCATGCAGAAGCTACTATATTTGTACACCAGATAGATCAATGCACAGTGAACTATTTCCTAATACAACTGCATTTTTAAAATTCAGACTGTATACTTGGTAAATATTAAGTCATGCTTTTTAACATTCCCAATTAAACTGAAGCATGTGCTAAATCTCACTTGCACATTCTTTTGGCTTGGAAATGTATGATTCTCATAAAGCTGTTTATAAAATTTAACATGACATTAGATAGCTTAGAAAGATGACACTACATTATTTTAGGTTGCTAATTCTAAGCACAAATTTCATGATATTTAGCAGTCTACAAAACAGAATAAACAATCATGCTATATACTGATAGAGAAACTATAAATAAGATTTTAGTCAAATAAAAAAGTAAATTACCCAAGAATTGCTTTTTGCACTTAAACACTGTGTAAAACACACTATAAAATACAATACCGCAGAAAGTTTGTACTTTTCTTCCTTATTAAAATAGTTTGGGAAGTGGGAAGAGACAGAGACACAGACCTACCTGGTAAGCAAGATTCAGCAAGAACCACTACTAATGAGGCCTGCACTTTTTAAGTGCTGTGTGTCAGCTGTGGCAGAAATAAGATATTTGCTTAACTGAAAACACAGCTGAGAGCAATGTACATGTGTAATCTCCATGAAATGGGGTAAGTCAGTAGCAGAGAGGGAATTACAGCCCTCCAGTTCATCATTTGCACACTGTATATAGCTAAGCACTGGAAAGGGCAGAACTTCCCATTACACTGGCAATTTGAATAGTCTTTTTCATATGTCTGATGAGCAGATCTGTACCAACATCCACCGTAAAATAACAAAGCAGTGTTATGCTCACCTATATAAACAAGCTGCATGACTTTAGTACACACTCACCCTTACAGCCAGAGCAGCACAGAGTACAATTCAAAATCTGAAACTCTAAGCTAGCTGCTGGCAAGTAGTTACTTGCTGCATACTATAAGCAAGCAATGAAATTCATCCAAGATCAGATGTCTTGCACAACTGAAAACTGACAGAATGATCCTTTCAGGTTAGCAAGTTCCTGTGAAGCAATCAGATACACACCAGATTCACAACACACAACCAAAATAGGATTCTGGCTCACTTGCATACAAGACAACTGCAAATCAGAACAGGTACACTGCAAGTTGTGTTGGATTCAAGTTTCCACCCTCATATACCTCTTCCTTGCATTCTTTTAATCTGTTATGGGGCACAATTGAGAACCTTTCAAAAAACCAAGGGCATTGTCTGATACACATTCCCCTGCACCTTGCACCCCACCAGAAGTGGGCTAAAAGCTGACATCAGACAGAGAGAAAGCACAAAAATTCACTCCTATTTACCTTCAAGCATTTCAGTTTCTATTTGTAGTTTTAAGACAGAAGAGGTTCCAAAGCCAAGTTAGGTACTTTGTACTTTGCAACAGAATTTACTTGACAGAAAACATGCTGATGCTAGGAAACCATCTGAAAAGAGTGCCTTGGATTGCTTATTGCAATTATGTGTCAGAAAGAAGATGGAAGACAGAAACAAACTATCAAACCACAGCTAGGCTTTGGTATAGGTCAAGCACAAGAAAGACACCATCACACAAATCAAGAGTTTTGCCACAATCTTCAGTGGCAAAGTGAACCGTACACTGCGATGCTCCATGCCTTAGAACTTCAATGGGAACTAGTTTTTTGTGAACTCAATCAAAAGCAGCACAGGAATAGCTAAGAGGTAACTATTATTATTTATAATAACTACCGCAATAAATGCACTTAAAAGAACTGTAAAGATGAAATCTGTGCGTGCAGAAAATTCTCTTTTCAAACTGACATAACACAGTTGTCAAGATTCACTACCTTAATTCCATACCACCAATGTGGTTACATTGTGCATGGTTGGTACTTTCTGTCATGGGACAATTTGGGCTACATATAAATCAAAATTTGCCTTTGCTTTGTAATTCTGTCCTACACTTGTGTACTGTACAAATAAAAGAATAGTTGATAGAAGTTACATCCAACTGTAACTGTGGTTTCATAAGGAGCTAGGCCAAACGCACAGCTCCCTTTTGCTTTTATGACAGCTCTACCACCTCTTGAACTTCTCTGCGAGCTGGTCTAACTCACCAACCCAGCAGAAAATTATCATCTACTTTTTTAAACCACAAGTTAGCTTTTTGCTAAGTCATTGAGGAAAACACCAGATGAGCATGAGAGCCAGTACAAGCGGCAGAAGCACGTGACAAGGAATAGGGAGAAAGATGGAAGAACAGAACAAGGCCTTCCTCTTTTAACAGGAAACTGTTAGAGTGGCTTAACTCATTTCTTTTAAGTTCACATTTGGACTAAGGAAAATTATATCCTCCTCTCAGAGTGAGGAAGAATCATATCTTCCCGAAAAGAGGCAGCCTTCTATTGCTACTGTTCAGCATTCAAGATGTTCATCCTAAATGCCGAACAGCCATTTTATGTAATTCATAGGAAAAAGCTTTTCTGCTGTTTAGCTGTTGAAAAAAGCTGCACGAAAAAGTTTAGTTGCTGTTTCCAAAGTATTTACATGACAGCTTTGTAGCAGGGTTCAAAACAACTGTGCATAGATCATAAGCCAAAAGGATTTTAGCCAGTAACCCCACCCTTACATAGTGGACAAGTCTCTGCTAGCGTAGATTCAACAAAAAGTATTTTGCAGGGTAGCATTACGTACCATTGCTGTACTGGTACTACCAGCTATCTTACTGAGGAACTTTATGAAACTCTCTTTAAAAAGCTTAGATTTTTGTTTTTATTGTAGCATTTTGCACAGAACTAAGTCAGTCAGATTTTCTTACAGTTCCAGAAATTAAAAAGACAGGGCTTATCCTGGACCCACACATATGGTTTCCCACAAAAGTAAAATACTAGGCTTAGCCATATTGTAGTTAGCTTATTTCTACTAATATATATTAAAGATTTTTTTAAGCTAGGTCAATCATCTTCATCCTTCATTTTTCCATTAGAAGAAGCAGTCACCAAGGTTCACAAAAGTAAAAATCAATGGAGTTCAATATATTGTAAATAAGCAAGTAGAACCATGAAATAAAATTAGATTTACAATGTACCTTAGGAAGATAATAGAAGTGCCTCTGAAAACAAGAATATTTATATAGGAACTTAGAGCTGGATTTTTTTTTTATTACAAATAAGTTTACTGTAAAAAAAATAAATACTGGTTTGCTTGCTAGTGAGCCTGAAGGGTTCAGTAATAGTTTTGATTGGAAAAAACTCAATGACAACACTGATACTCTATCACCTACTTGCTGAGTCCCACAAGCACTTCTGCAGGTCACTGGAAACTGATGGCTGAGGAGATCCAGACTCAGCTCTCCCCAAAACTGATTGACCCATCAAGCTAATTAAGCCCCTGAGATTAGACACTCGCTCATTCTCTCTTTTTGACACATTAACTGTGAGAAGGACTGCTAGCCACATATCTTAGATGAGTATGCTAATCATCACATTAGCAGGTCATTCTCAGCTCTCCAAATATTAAATTATTCCCTACCTTTTATTATCTTATTATTCCCTCTCTTCCTGAAATCTTTTCCAACAAGATGAACTGAGGAAAGAACCTTCACAATAGATAAAAGACAAACAGGGCTCTGTGCTGAGACATAAGACATGTAAAAAGTATCTGTGGAGATTTTAAGAGATCTAACTGAGTTTCCCATATGTCAGGTCAGTACACTAACTCCTGGGATCCAAGAAGGATAACATCACAACCACCATCTCTTCCTCCTCCAGTATTTCTGCATTTGCTGTTCTTGCTGGTCCCAAAACTAAATTGTTAATTCAATCCTTTCCCTCATTCCAGTGAGAAAATAAAGTCTAAATATCTTAGTTCCACACTAAATGTTTTTTTTTTTTAATTTGGTTCAGCTGTTCAAAGTCATCATTTACACTGCCTTCCTGTTAACTACCTTCAGTTCAAATATGGAATTGTGTGCTTCTCTGCATGTGTCTGTTTATGTGCAAAGTTCAAATGGAGAAACTCAAAGGATTAAAATGAAACCCACAAACAAATTTTTGCTAGGTTGTGGCCTAGATAATTCTTTCTCTAAAAAAATAAGCCCAAGCTATCCTACATGCTGTGAGCATTTGAGATACCAGCCACTTGGAAATTTAGCAAAGAACGAGCAAGCTTGTCAGTATTTATGTAAATTACGTTCAATACAAGCTCTCAAAACTATGATAGAAAACCAACAACAAATCTGAGCTTATTGCTAACTATATACTTCTAGCCAGGCACAATGATTGCAGCAGAATAGTGTACTACCAAGTAGATATTGCTATTAAAAATTCATATACATATTTAGAGATCAAATGCAATAGTTTAAGTAGGGCTATCTGTCTGCTACTGCTACACGATAAAATCTTCCATGATTTCCCTAGGTTTACACGTTGTCATTAACTCTGTATAGGCATAAATTCACTATAACAGGGCTCAATGCATTATTAGGACTTGGTACTTCAATTTGTCTAAGAGTTAGAAAGGCATAATATAGGTACTAGAAAGAAAGTTTCGCAACAATTACAGTCACTCAAAGTGATCTCAAGATACAGATTTAGGGTTGTTCTTGTTTAAATGTATTTGGGGATTTTCTGACTTCTTTAGCCATAGTATTGATTTTGTAGCTGCTAAACAGCTTAGGTGCAGCTATGTAAGCAACTAGAGAACATGCTTAATGCTAGACAGGGCTAGATTCAAACCTTTTCACTGAAATACGAAAGTAAATGCATTACTACAATCTCTTTTCAGATGCCTCACTGTCCTGTTGAATCAGGCTTTAAATTCACAGTTTCCTCAGAAGACCATCAGAAAATTTTCCATTGGAGTAATGATATACTGTTTTAGCAGAAGTCATAGAAATACTATCTAGTCCTAGACTGAAATAGAAAACTTCTGCACTTTTTAATGAACGTCTTCCTGAAGTCTGGAAACGGATTTTCACATTTCAAATAGTCACTGTTCTTTGAATTTCACTTCAGATCTCTCATGGAAAAACTGGCTGTTCGTATTTTCTAAAATGCCCCCTCTCTTAAGAATGAGAATAAATTTTTTCCCAGCTTGAAGTATTTTGGTCTACAACCGTTATGTGAGACCAACAATTTTTTAGAGGAAATTATAGAGAATTTTAACTTAAAAAGGTTTAGGATGCAAGTTTACCATACGGAAACTGCCACTGTTTACAATACTTATGTACAAGGATTCTTATCACAATAAAATAAGTTTGTATACATTTACACAGCTGTAATTTAAAGCTATGACTATTTCATAGAAAGACTTGCATATTTTACATGGTCTAAAATAGCTGGGCAGGGGGCAAGCAAGTTCATCAAGAACAATGTATTTCCTGCAAATTTATGGCCTTGATTTTAAGGAATATTTACAGCTTCAGACCTATTTTCAATATCAACATGCTATATTACCAGTAGATGATCTGCATATCTAAAAACTTTTATTGGTAAAAACAGGAAATTGCACAGGGAAAGTTCTCTTGGGTCCACAGAATTGCCAGCTCTACAGTCACACATGAAATATTAAGGTATTTCACTTATTATTCATTCTATTGCCTCAACATATACCATGAAACAGCACAAATAGGTTAAGTCACACAGTCTGAAAATAAATTGATTGAAATAAGGTAAAATATACCTCTATACTAATTTTCTTTCAAAAATGGGGGAGGGGGGGAAACTCCTAAATTAAGCAAAAATGGATGTAGAACCAAACTTGAAACAGTAATTCTTTTCAACTTGCTACTTGTTCAGCTTCCAAGCCACATGAAATCAGAAGATATATTTAACTAAAACTTATTAATTCTGTAACTCCTACATATATTAGATACATTTATCCTGTCTAACCAGTTACTCAACCATGTTCAAATTTAGTTCGTCAGCACAATATGAATAATACACAATAGTTTCAACTTACATGCTGCCACGTAGCGTTATGCAACCAGCTAGCAAAATGTCTCTGCACCAGGAAAACAAAGAAACATGTATTGCAAAAAACTGTGTGTAAAGCAGCAAGAGAAGAATAAAAAGAGATTTTTTCTGCTACCTCCTGCTGCCACAGGCATTCACACATGCAGGCAATCTCAGTGTATATGCTCACCCCTCTACTGGAGGAGATTATGTAAGAAACCCTCCAATCCAGATTTTTACCTGTTGAAGCATTTCTTCTGTAGCGTTCAGTTTCAACTGATGCCCCTCCAGACAGATTTCTAAGTCCCGGATTTTCTCTCCTTGAGCTTCCACCTGGTCTGTGAGGACACTCACCTGTAATTTGAGAACAGAAGCACTAAGAATGCTACTGAATTGACAGTAAATAAGTTTCAATTACCTTATACGAATAACATCCAAAAGCACATTTTAACAGCAAGTTCTCTTTTAAAGTCTTCAAAGGTTTCATATTCCTGTGCACTGAAACAACTTGCTCTATATCAGGACAGACAATTTTTCAGTCTTATAAATATTTTACTTTAACTCCCCCAGATTTTTTTTGTTTTGTTCTAAAATAAAAAGAGAGAACATTTCTAGAAGGTCTGTAAGCCTACATATAGGCAGCCTGTGTCAATCCTGCACAAGTCTGAACAATTAGAAAGCAACAAACAAGAACACAGGATTCTGAAAATACTTCAGTTGGTACTGAAGCATGCATTGCCATTTCAGGTTCTGTTAGCATTTTGCTCCATAAGACAGATGAACAATAAAACTGTTCATTCAGAAGCCAACCAATTACCTTAGTTCTTACAAGAACATAAAAATAGCTTACCTATCAATAAAGTGTTTTGAAGTTATAAAGAATGCAATGAGTAAAAGGCATGTTTTAGCAGAGGTAAAGTTCTATTCCAAAAAAAATCCCAGCCTTTACATGCCAAAACATGAAAACAAAAGAAGTGAGATACAGACAATGAATCCCAGGAAAGGATACAATAAGCAATACTAGTCAAGAACTGTGGGAATAGTGGTATGGAGCAGCAAGCACAGAAGGAAAGCCCACTAGCCTAACTCAAAGTTTGTAAAGCTCAAAAAAACTACGCTCAGCATAACATTAGAAAGAGGAGGAAAATTGAGCTTTTATTTCTATATTTAGCAATATACACGTAATGACTCCATTCTACTATTTATTCGTATTACAGTAGTTTCAATACACGGACCTAACCTTAATTAGACTAGAAGATATTACCTCAAACAAAAAAGCAACACCGCAGGTGTTCAAGCTCCAGTTTGAGTGAAATGTGTTAATAAAAGCTTAGCTATGCTGTGACATCCAACTCTGGAACACCTTTATTTAAAAAAAAAGAAAAACAATGTGTTTGGAAGTGAAACCTTCAAAGATGTACCCACTAAGCAGCACTGCTAAAACCCAAGGGAAGCAATGAACAATTGAGTTCACTTCAGAAAAGCTGCAAAGGGAGCAGCTGGATGATCTGAATTTGTTTTACCTACAAACATATACTGACAAGGATGCCTGGGAAACAAATGAACAAAAAAGAAAAAATAGGAATATTTTATTTTTCTGCCTTTAAAGTAGCCAGCTGTGGGGGGAATACAGCTGACTACAGGATGAGAGATGATAGGAAAGACTGGGCGGAGGCACATGGCAGGACAAAAAGTTGCCACTCTTGGCCAGAAGGATACCCTGATACACCCAAGCTGGGGGGTGGGGGGAAAGGACCCCTAGAAGAGAGTCTGTTGCTTATCAGCTCATTTATTTTTCTTTCATAAAATAAGGGAAGGCACAAAAAAATCGCTGAGAGGTCAGAAAACGAGAAGAAACAAACTGAATCTCCTCCCTCAGTCTGATGCAGCTTCCAGAGAAAGAAAATAACATCTATTTAAAGAGTTAAGTTCTAACTAGCATTATAATCTACCAGGAAAACTCTCAGTGTTAAATGTGACCTGCAAAGGCATTTATTAACATCTTAGCAGCATGCGTTGAATATTCCAATAGCTAGGCTGAAAGACACATTAGCCACTTTACACTCATAGTTTTCCCTCTCTTCAGGATTACATCTGCCAGATCCTTTAGGGGATCAGTAAGTTGCACAGAGAACATAACCTTAGCGTATGCTTTACTGGCATGTCCATGTTGCCTTGGCAATGCAACATCCACAAGACTCAGCCTGTAGATATTGTATTTTCTGTAAACATCTATAGAAGGCAAGTATATGCAAAAATTAACTAAAATTTACATGGTACAAAATAGGGCTTAAAGCACATTAGGAAAAAGCATCCTGGGGAAAAAATTGAAGCACTAAGTACACTAGCTCCTATACACAGACCCTGAGCTATAAGAAGGCATCCTGGATGCTGCAGTATTTCTAGTCTCTACTACATGCTGACAATGAAAGCACTGTTCAACAGCACGTTTCAAGATGCACTGTTTGAACCAGTCTTGGACGGCAAAGTTAGAGGGTACCACCTCTGAAGGTGCCTTGTATCGCTTCTATGGCAAGTCTGACGCAAGACTGGAATACTCCCAGTGCCCTGCTCCCTACAGACAATTACAGCTGTGGACCACAGTCATTGGCACAATGCACATAGGTGAGCCAGAGAACAGAGGTGCTCTACGCTCCCAGCCAACTTCTTACCCATTATGCCAGTGGTCACGCCCAGGAGCCAGATTTGTACCGGAAGATTCCCTCAGGCCTGTGTAACCTCAGCATGGGCCTTGCATGCGTTTCTCGTATTCTTTGACTACCTATATAGAATACGCAGGACTACTATACACTAGGTTATGTAACCCACAGCTTTAGCTTGTCACCTTTATATCTTTTTTATTGATCTTCATCCACCAGATTGAAAAGGGTTTTGTCTATGACATTTGACTGGTTTTTTTTTTTTTTTTGGAGTTCTACTGCAACAGTATGAAAGAGGATAGGAAAATGTGCTAGAGTAATAATGTTGACTAAACATCTTGATTTGATGGGGGTGTGATGGGATTAACAGAAAGAAGAGAGGAATTTCTGCATCTGATTTTACTACATTCAGCTCCAAGCACGTCTCTGAGCCATGTCATACAAGACTCTTCTTTGCAAGTTTGTGTGACTGTGGCCTGTAGGTACCTATCTGTGCAGATGGAGAAATAATTACTAGAAGACAGTAGATTAAAGACAAGAAAAGTATTTACTGAGCATGCAACAGTCTCCAAGAAACTGGTAAGTGCTGGAGATTAGTGATTCTGCTAAATCTACCAGAACTGATGAACCCAAAGCATCAAGAATTCTCCTGAATCCACACAAGGCCGCTAGCACACATGACCATCTACAAAAGGCTGTATAGCTTGAACTACATCCAAGAAGACAGTGGTTGCCACAGGCAGACAAAGATTACAGGATTATATAGACACCTGATGAAAGAAAAGACCTCTTTGAGGGACAAAGCCACAGGTATATCAGTACAACCCTCTGCTTCTGAGTAAACATGTGGAGTTGGCCTCCCAATTGTTGCTCCAACTATGAGTGAGTGAACATGTGCGTGAGTGAACGTGGTGAAAGAGTAAGTCAGTTTACTGTGAACAGCTATCTGTTATTATTGTAACATCTTGATTCTGCTAATAACAGCTTGATTAACCGAAGGTGTTCTAGTAAGTATTGGTTTTGATCCTGTCTCCCCTGACTTGATCCCTTATCAGGAAAAAGGGAATTTGCAACATATGCTTAACCTTACACATTTAAATTCCAACCAGAAAATTTTGTTCTTCTTCCAGGATTTTTTTTTTTATTTGGTAATGGCATTTTTAGCAGAACAGCAATGAAAAAATCCACCCAAGCCTAAGAATATGTATTATAAACAGTCTATTGCTTATTTAACAACAGCACTGAGAATTCTCCTCAGTAAATTAATGCAAGAATGAACAGAACATACAGGAGAAAACATGTTTACAGAAACTAGTTACCGAAATTGGGGATAATAACTACCCAGTTTTGTTTTGGTTTAAAAAAGCATATACAACTGTAAAGAGAAAGGACAGGCAAAGACTGTTTAGAAAATGTCCAGTTTCAGTGTTAAAAAGCATGTAACGTACAGGTTAGTAACAGTGAAAATATTCAGAAAAAGAATCTTGAAGTTTAATTTTAAGCTCTACAAAATGTTATTTCCTCAGGAATAAAACTCACTTACATGTAACAGAGGCCCTATTTGAAAAAGGCTTGGTAAACTGAGAAACAGGAAAGCTGGAAGAGCCTAGACCTGCATTTTACTGCCAAGTTTCCTTTTACCCCTTTACCCTCTACCTTTTTGATGAAGTAAACTAGCTTAGGTACGATATACAAGGAAGAAAAACATCAGTTCTATCACCTGTAAATTTTCAACAACTTTCTAGATTCCTCATTTCTACTCCGAATTTTGCTAGTCCTCCATATGACAATAATGACCAAATGACCAATACAAAACTATACAGGCTCTACCATCTTGCTTTTGAATTTGGTATCTAAAGAAGCTGTAGGATTTCTCATATTTCATCCTATACTTCCTCAAAAATGGTAGCACAACTAAAATACAAAGAGACACACCCCTCTGAGCATCAATAAACTCAAAGTGACAGGCATTTGTCAATGTGAATTTAATGACATTAATGGAGAAGAAAGGAAGGAGGTATGTATGGTATCTGGGAACATGATAAGCATAAAAGGGGTTTGGCTATTTCATCCGTGTTCTTCACTCTTTCAGTTCATTACCGACACAGGCACACAGAACCTAGAAAATTGACTGGCACAACCTAGTAAATCTAGAATAAGAACCACTGCCACAATATTCTTGTCTTGGGACTTCATAGCATTATTTAATTTGGGTTTTTCCTTAGTCATTCTTCTCCCTTTTATCTCTTTTACTCCTGAACTCACCCCTGCTTCCCCCAAACACCCCACCATGAAATCAGCCAGATAGCTTATACAAATTATAGGTTAATTTCTGATTAAACATTGAAGCTACATTTGCTGACCAGCTAACATTTGTTTCACAGAAAATACTCTCACCGCTTCAGCTTTTACCACTGAATATCAACTATGTAGGAGTGTTTTCTTTAACACGTACCTGCAGTATGAGCGACTCTTTATCACCTTCTAATCGTGCCAATCTTTCTTGATAGGTTTCATTATTCATAGAAGAATGAAGATTCACCTGTGACTGGGGAAAAACATGCTATAAGAACTTTGACAATTATTATTAAAATTTCAAGCTATAGTTAATAAAAATTAGTACACACTGAATAGCTGCTATAGTGCAAAATAAATGCAAAAAAAGCGTCTGCAAATCAAAGCTTTATGTGTCATGGCTTTCTAAACGGCTCTGAAGAGCAAGACCTTCTAAAACTGCCTGATCTTTTTTCTATCTGCCAGCTCTACACTCCCACAGATTTTAATACTGCAGAGTCAAACCCTACTTTTTTTTTTAACTGCAGATTTATAGAAAAGTAAGTTTAGAAGAGTCTCAAAGCTATCTGGTTCATTCTGCACACGGAAACATTTTGACATCTGATTGTAACATGAACCCACAGCAGTTCATTTCCAAGCTCTATTGTAAGTGATGCTTTTCTGACTGTGAATAAAGCAGTTGGGGTGGCTTTTTCACTGTCACTAGAATCAAACTTCAAATTCCCCACAATTACACCAATGCGCAGTAGACAACCTATCAGTATAGTTGCTTCTTTTACAATGGCACCAATATATACTATAATCTTTTTCTCCTCTACTGCCAACTACTGCCTTTTTATTTCAACCGAACATTTGTGAACAGGATTTTTTTTTTTCCTGTAACACATGCATGGCTTCTTGATCTCCACTGATGTCTACATGCCGAAATGCAAAACAAATGATGATGAAAATAAACATAGCAGTAATGCTAATCAAGTACTTTTCCAACCAAAAGCCAAAACACACTTTTCAAACTGTAAAGTGCTACACTATATTTAAATAGGGCATCTTTAGGAGTCAAGTTGTGAGGAACTGAGCATCCTTAGCTTTCATATTTTTGGAAGGTATCAACAGAATCACAAAACACCAAACAGGACTGAAAGGTATTTGAAGAGATCATCTGGTTCATTGTTCTATCCCAGGACATGTGATTATTTGCAGTGTTCTTGTCTTGTCTACCCCTAAAGACTTAAAAAAAAAAAATGGATCATGCAGTCTCCCCAGATAATCTGCTTCTTAGCTACCCATCATTAGAATATTTTTCTTCATGCCTAGCCTGAATCATCATCTCTGCAATTTCAACCTACTACTACTTATCCTACCACCATATATAAGGAAAATAGGTCCTTACTTCCACTTCAGAAACCTTTTACATATTTGAACTATCCTTAGTTCTCTAATTTAGCAGGTCCCTCATTAGGTTAAACGCCCACATATCTTTCCAGCTTTCCTCAGAGGCTAAGTTTTCAAGATCTGTTTTGTTGTTTTCTTGTGGTCCTTCTTCACCAGTTGCTCCTTGACTTTTTAAAAATTCAATGTCCCAAAGCAGACAGAGGACTCCAGCTGAAGCTGCCTAGATTGGAAAATTCACTTCACACATCCTTTGGGCCATATTTATGTTCACGTATCATCAAGACATTGATTCATTTTCGGCCCATGACTTCCCGATCCCTTTCTAAGTGCTGTTTAGCTAGCTGTTCTTGACACTGTGTTTACTGTTTATTTCTGCTTAAATGTGTAACCTTGCATTAGTCTATACTGACTTGCATTCTATTATTTGAACAATTTTTCCTATGTGTCAGGCTCTTTATACGTTTTCATCGTGTCCTTTAGCATGGCTGGAAGTCCCTGCTCAACTGGAATTACTTGTAAATTCACTAAGCTTAGTTTTCATTCTCTTCTTTAGAGGATCAGCAAAAATATTGACAAGTAAAAAGTTCAGAACCTCACTCCACACCTCACTTAACACATTCATCATTCTGACAATGACCGATGCTAATCCTACTCAGAATATATTTTTTCTAACTAGCTTTTGACTGTTTTATAGCAATCCCAAAGATGATTAAAGATCTCACAGAACTGACTCTAAATATGTGCATCGCAATTGTGTATGCACTGCTCTTATTTATCTATAGTCCTAACTTACGCATGAACAGATGACTTACTAGTATCTGTCTAAGTTTTATTGTAGGACCTTAGGGAGCTGTGCAAGTACGTATCACTCTTAAAGGAATAGTGACTTCATTTCCTCTTCTTAACTATTTTAATAGAATTTCTACATCTGAGTTTGAACTCTTCTATTAATGGACTACTTTCAATCTTTCTCCTTTTTTAAAAAAAGAAAAAAGAAAAAAGAGAAAACTGCAGTGATTATAAAAGATGTATTACTTCCATTTAACTTAAACCCTTTGTATCAAGTTGGTCAGTCAGTCCGGACCATCTTAAAAAAATGATTTTCCTTCATAACTTTTTGTAGTACTATAATGAAAATAAGGAATCCTCGTAACTAAGCAAGATTCGTTTCTGTACATCTGCCTAGACATTCCTTTGAGTTCAGCTATGCAATCTCAATCACACTGCCAGGATTTCTGCCGGTGCTGTTACTCTACTTGCAGAGCAGAATCTTAAGTCCTCTAAAATCTGAAGTCTAATGACAACCTAGCTGCCAAGACTAAAGAGTTAAAACCCCACTCCTCACCATTAAGTGAATTTACCCAATGGACAGCCTACAGGCCTTCTCCAATATGTCTCTGACTCACACACCCAAGGTAGGGAACGACTTTGCTGCATGTAGAACATGCATCAGGTATTCAGGGAACAGCAGCACCCTTCTAGATGAGAGAAGACTCTCCTACTAACAAAAGCTAGTGATGAAGAAAGCCTCATCAGATAGATTTTGCACCCTTTCTGCTGCCATCATTTGCTATTTACTATTCTAGTTTAAGAAATAAACCCATGACTCCTTGTGTCACAAATCTTTATTATTATTAAACTGACAAAATGAGTTAAATTAACACAAACACTTTTTTTTTTTTACATGACCAGTCTATCATGAAACACAAAACAGGGTTCAACATTTTATATGATCAGTAATTAAGAAAAATTAGTTCAACATCAAATCACAAATAAAACATTTCACTACACTCACGTTTACAAAATGTATAGCGCCCCTGACGACATTGCTTCACTGAATGACTCTGAAGTACCCTCAGTTGGAAGTGTGATACTCAGTATCCACATAAAATCTATTGAATCACACCCACATGAACAGAAAGGAAAACAGCAGCCCTTTCAATAGGTCAGTGAGAGAATACTTGGATAAGTACAGGAAAGTACAGTACACAGCAAATAAACTGCTAAATGAAAGTGGTTGATTGACACACAGCAGTTGTTAAGGACTTGAGAAAACTTCATGGCATGCATAAAGACAAGATAAAACAATGTAATGTGATCCAAGGCCATCTGTAGATGGTTGGAGTTCATGCTGCAGTTGTGAAAGAGAGTACTGAGAGGAAACTTAGCAAGTATGGTTAGATATCACACATATCAGCAGGGAATGAATACAGGAGCTATGACACTAAAGTCATAAGACCACAGACCACTTGAATTAGTGTAAGCGCTCACTTAAAGAGTACACACTAGACTCAATTAACCACATAACCAAAAGGCAAAATCACCAAGATTTATTACAGAGACAAACATGTTATTTCAGAAGATGCGGGTTTAAACACCAAACATCATTACCTGAGCTCCACAACATATAAGCTAAAATATGTTAATTATAATTGTTATAATGAAAGGATTAGAGAAATGGCATAAAACATGTAAGAAAGTTTATGACAAGACATGGTAGTGAAGTAGAAGAAAAGATATGCTCAGGAAAGGTGGCTGGAACAGTTAAAATGGCAGTAGTGCTGCAGATGAAAAAAAATCGATAGCGTATGCCAAACATACTTTGCCTAAGACAGCTGCAAAGTGATTTTTGAAGCACCTGTCTTATGCTCTCCATGGCATTTTGGCAATAGCGTCACGTCCATCTAAGTCTGCATCAGACATGAACGTGTTTCATCAAACAACAATTCCAAACTAACTGCTTCTCCAGTTCTAGAAAAAAGGGCTTTTGCATTCTATGACCTGCCTCAGCTTCTTATTCATCTTTAGTTTTGGAAACTATCTCTGGAATATCCTCTCTCTCCTCTCACTCGGACATAATATTGGTATGTACTGGAAACTCTTGAGCGTCTAAGTATCACTTATGCGATCCAATCATTAGATAGCCCTATTCCAAGAAAAAGGCTTAAATGTTCCTCTGGAACGTATGATGCAAAAATCAGACTTTAGAGCATGGTTCAACAGCTTTTTACATTAAAACAGGAGAATCAGCAAGAATTAAAAGGGTAGGGCAAGAAAGGGAAGAAACATTTGATCAACTTAATTAGCTAGCTTAATTTTCAGCAGATTCTCAGATAGGAGCTCAAAGCTCCTTACTTACTGGAATAAACAAGAATTTTTATGTTTTCTTGCATGTTATTTTAATAGAAAGCACAGAGTGCACCAATTCAGAATGTCAAAACAGAGCAACAGCCATTATTCAGAGCTTCTGTACAGATGTTCTGTTGACAAGTTTCTGTAGCAGAGCTTCTAGTTGAATCTTGATAATAAAATCCATTTATGTTTTCCTAACGTGCTAAATTTCAGCTCTAGGAATCTCTTCAACACAGGTGATTCTAAAATAAAAAAGAGCAACTTCAGAAGTTGATCAGCCAACTGTAATACAGTAATTTGTCACTAATGCCATGGATCTCATATTGGGCTGGGGATTGGCGATGAACTGGAAGAACTCTGGCAGTCATTTAGGCTGGTGATTTGTAAGCTTTTTCAACAAGTCATATGCCTCTTAGAAGACTGATTACATCATAACTCTCCTCCTTTCTTGTTCAGAGTCACATGAATCATCTTCAGTTCCACTGGTAATTGAGTAAGATGCCCAAGGCAACTACAGTACTTGCATTAATGGAAAAAATATTAGGGGCATGCCTGATGTATTGTCTTATACTGCACTGCAGTTTAGAAGCTGAAAATGAGGAGCATAGCCAGCAGAGTTCAACCAGCCAGTTTTTCCACAGACTATTAGCCCACAGACCATAGTATTATATTCCAATAAAAGAAAGTGTATACTGTAGACTTTTTCCAGCCTGTTTAGAATTCATTATA